GAGGTACATGGGTGGAACTTTAGGTGTAAGCTACATGGGCGGAGCTTTAGGTGTAAGCTACATGGGCGGAGCTTTAGGTGTAAGCTACATGGGCGGAGCTTTAGGTGTAAGCTACATGGGCGGAGCTTTAGGTGTAAGCTACATGGGCGGAACTTTAGGTCTAAGCTACATGGGCGGAACTTTAGGTGTAAGACTCATGGGCGGAACTTTAGGTGGGAACTACATGGGCGGAGCTTTAGGTGTAAGCTACATGGGCGGAGCTTTAGGTGGGAGGTACATGGGCGGAGCTTTAGGTGTAAGCTACATGGGCGGAGCTTTAGGTGTAAGCTACATGGGCGGAGCTTTAGGTGTAAGCTACATGGGCGGAACTTTAGGTCTAAGCTACATGGGCGGAACTTTAGGTGTAAGACTCATGGGCGGAACTTTAGGTGGGAACTACATGGGCGGAGCTTTAGGTGTAAGCTACATGGGCGGAGCTTTAGGTGGGAGGTACATGGGCGGAGCTTTAGGTGTAAGCTACATGGGCGGAGCTTTAGGTGGGAGCTACATGGGCGGAGCTTTAGGTGGGAGCTACATGGGCGGAGCTTTAGGTGTAAGCTACATGGGCGGAGCTTTAGGTGTAAGCTACTTGGGCGGAGCTTTAGGTGGGAACTACATGGGCGGAGCTTTAGGTGTAAGCTACTTGGGCGGAGCTTTAGGTGGGAACTACATGGGCGGAGCTTTAGGTGTAAGCTACATGGGCGGAGCTTTAGGTGTAAGCTACTTGGGCGGAGCTTTAGGTGTAAGCTACATGGGCGGAGCTTTAGGTGTAAGGTACATGGGCGGAGCTTTAGGTGTAAGCTTCATGGGCGGAGCTTTAGGTGAAAGCTACATGGGCGGAGCTTTAGGTGTAAGCTACATGGGCGGAGCTTTAGGTGTAAGCTACTTGGGCGGAGCTTTAGGTGGGAACTACATGGGCGGAGCTTTAGGTGTAAGCCAAATGGGCGGAGCTTAAGGTGTAAGCTATATAGGCGAAAATTTAGATAGGAGCTTTTTCAGCGGAGCTTTAGGTGTAAGCTTCATGGGCGGAGCTTTAGGTGTAAGCTACATGGGCGGAGCTTTGGGTGTAAGCTACATGGGCGGAGCTTTAGGTGTAAGCTTCATGGGCGGAGCTTTAGGTGTAAGCTGCATGGGCGGAGCTTTAGGTGTATGCTACATGGGCGGAGCTTTGGGTGTAAGCTACATGGGCGGAGCTTTAGGTGTAAGCTTCATGGGCGGAGCTTTAGGTGTAAGCTACATGGGCGGAGCTTTAGGTGTAAGCTACATGGGCGGAGCTTTAGGTGTAAGCTACATGGGCGGAGCTTTAGGTGTAAGCTACATGGGCGGAGCTTCAGGTGTAAGCTACATGGGCGGAGCTTTAGGTGTAAGCTACATGGGCGGAGCTTTGGGTGTAAGCTACATGGGCGGAGCTTTAGGTGTAAGCCACATGGGCGGAGCTTTAGGTGTAAGCTACATGGGCGGAGCTTTAGGTGTAAGCTACATGGGCGGAGCTTTGGGTATAAGCTACATGGGCGGAGCTTTAGGTGTAAGCCACATGGGCGGAGCTTTAGGTGTAAGCTACATGGGCGGAGCTTTAGGTGTAAGCCACATGGGCGGAGCTTTAGGTGTAAGCTACATGGGCGGAGCTTTAGGTGGGAACTACATGGGCGGAAGTTTAGGTGTTAGCTATATGGGCAGAACTAGTAGCTTACAAAACGTTGATCTGGTAGCTATGAGGTTACCTAGTCTGCTTTTGCAGTTGGGAGTTTATATTTGTAGACTATATAGGACGGAGCTTAGATACCAAGACTAGGTAGGTAGGAGCTTGGGTGTATCTGATGGGTAGGAGCTTAATAATATCATTGCTCTAGTGTGGGAGCTTAAATAATTTGACCTGATAGGTGGGAGCTTACAAGGAAAACTTGGACATCTGAGCTCTGAGCTTCCTACTAGACTTCATTGTCTGCAGTGTCGACAGTCTTGTTTGTGATTGGGCAACAAAATAGAAATTATAGGGTTAGCCACACCAAATGGTTTTGTTCAGACATTCATGGGCGAGGGAGGAGGGTAAACGGAAAAAAAGTCACAGGAAAAAAAGTCACAGAAAAAAAGTCACAGTTTTTGCTAGGAAAAAAAGTCACAGAAAAAAAGTCACAGTGGAAAAATTTTATCGGAAAAAAAGTCACAGAAATAAAGTCACAGAAAAAAAGTCACAAAAATTGTTTTAGAAATATTTTGATTTATTTGTTAAGAATTGTAAAATTGTGTATGTTTATTGTTGTGGGTTGTATTTTTTGATGGCATAAATTATTTATAGACGTTAAAAGCATTATGGTTTATAACAATTGTAAGTAAAAATACTCTTAGATAATTTACACAACAATCTCAACTTTTGTTACGTATTTAGTTAAATACGCTGTAGAAAAGTTAATTACAAAAGAAATTTAGGCTAATTTGACCGTAGGCTATTCTCTGGTCGGCCTCTCCTCAGTAGGCATTGTCAGAACATATTTTGTGCTGTTGACGTTATGCGTCAATGACCGCCTTTGAACCTTGTCGGCTTTCTGTGTTGATCCTAAGTTTTGTTATGTAATGAGCGTGATAAATGTGGGCAGTAAAGGTGGTTGAACTAAACATAACTATTGTTGCCATGAGTTGAGGGCAGCAAGTCAGAAGAACTTACTATTTCTCGGTAATTTAATGTTAGTATTAAAAAAAAACACGATGAAAACCGTGGACTTTAGAGCATTCTATTAAATGCTACTAATCTTAAGTTTAACATAATTAAAATCTACATACTTCATACTAAGTATTTTTAGATTAATTATAAAAATTACCATGCGTATACAGCCTACACACATTATATTACACTTAATTAATCCTAAGTTAACTTGCACTCTCTAAATATTTAATACATAAAAGTATTAACAAATATAATGCAAATATATATTTGTGACTTTTTTTCCTGTGACTTTTTTTCCTGTGACTTTTTTTCCTGTGACTTTTTTTCTGTGTTTTTTTTTCCTGTGTTTTTTTTTCCTGTGACTTTTTTTCCTACAATCGGGAGGAGAGGGGATACATTTTTTAGGGCCCGGGGGAAGGGCCAAAAGTAAAATCATATATTTTGTATATAAATTATATTTCGTTTAGGGACGGCGGGGGGGGGGGGGGGTGTCGGTAAAAGCGCTCCAGTTGGGGGTGGGGGTGAGGGTGGTGGGGCTTTTGCCCCCCCCTCCCCCCCCCCCCCCCCTCCTCTACGTAGAGAAGCTTGAAAGAAAAGTTGGTCGTATTACACTAATGATCGGATACAGAAATCTTTAAACCTGACTATTTAATATGGAAATTAATTCTAATCTTTAAAAAATAATCTCTTGTTCTAAACCTTGCGCTAATAATAAACAGGAACAAAGATAGAAAAAAAAGCCTTGATCCTAACTAACCCTTTACCATAACTCGTTACACATAAAACAACACATCTCGTTACAATTCGAAATTCCCCGGCTGTCTCATGTAAAAGATTTAAAGGGAATTCTAAATTTATTTCCCACTAAGTCCAAAAAACACAGCCAACCGTGTTACAGCTGACAAAACCTATTTTCTACTCTGACCCCAACACCAAAGCTCCGCCTTTGTTGTCAGCGGCCATGAAAAGGGAGTTCACTCGTGGTAACTGCGAGATCCAAGGACGATCACTCGTGTCTTTCTATTAGAAATTCTAAACTTACTATTGAAAAAAAACCCATAGATCTAAATTTAATCTGTCATTACAAATGCATGAAACGGCTTATATTTACTTACCTCTTAGCACACCGAAGAACAAGAAACCTGTTTCACGAACATAAACATGAATTTAATTCAACTTTAAATTTTCTCCATTCTGTAGCTGAACACAGACTGAGCACACACACAGTTCAACACGGTAGTTATAAACCGATTATACCGCCCCCTCCCCCTCTCTGTCAACGGGTTATCTTATATTTGCTTAACTCGATGCTTATCTCGGCTAGTACACGGACTAGAGTGGGACATGGACTAGGAGATAGAGTGGACAGAACTTAGGCACTAAGGGACGTTGTTTAGTGGTCAGGGGGAGGGGTGGGGGTTTGACAAGTGGCGTCTGTTTGATCACCGGCCAGTTAACCTCTGACCTTGACCTTTAGATTAAGGCCTTAGGGTTTGACACTGTACTTGCTTAGTGCCTAATATCATTAGCCTATCTAGTCATTCTGTCATTTAGGCTTCCTGGCCTAGTACTTATGTGGCTATATTATAATTATAATTATAATATGTCTCTTGTTCAGTCCTTTCCCATAACTGCCTCTTAAGATCGCAAAATCGAATGCTTCAAAAATGACTTAAAACCCCCAAAAACTAAATGCCAAAAAAACAACAACAACGAATGTTTGAACCTCATTGCTGACTATATATATATATATATATATATATATATATATATATATATATATATATATATATATATATATATATATATATATATATATATATATATGTATATAATAGAAAATACTACTCTACAGGCCCATTAATGTCATATAAATAATTGACCACTAAACCGATGATTGCCACTCGGGTCACTCGGGTCACGACTTCAATGTTGGCGTCCGCACTGATAAAAATCTCCGAACCCCGGGAACTAACTCATCGAACCCCTAATGTTCGATCGAACCCAGGCTAAGAATCACTGATATATATATATATATATATATATATATATATATATAAATAAATAAATAAATAAATATATATATATATATATATATATATATATATATATATATATATATATATATATATATATATATATATATGTGTGTGTGTGTGTGCGTGTGAATACATATGTCTGTGCGTGTGTGTGTGTACACATTGGGGGAGCCCCCTTGACCCCAAACGTATGGGCGCCCATGACTTCCACCCCCTAATATTTTTCTACTTTACAACTAGCCATCTATTCTATCTTTCAGGCGCCCCCGTGGTTGTAAAGGCGGACATCGAGATCCGTTCTATGGGTCCCATATCGGAGAAAGACATGGTAGGTTCGAGATGGTTACCTGCACATTGTACGCACATTGGTAAACACTATGTACACATTGGTTTAACACATTGTTCACATGGGTTGAACACAGTGTACTCATGGGTTAAACACAGTATACACCTAGGTTCAACATAGAGTGCACACGGGTTAAACACATAGTAAACATTGTTTAAACACAGTGCTCACATTAGTTAAACACATTGTTCACATAGATTTAACACAGTGTTCGTTTGGATTAAACACACAATGTACACATGGGTTAATCAAATGTAAACACTGGCCATCACAAGTGCGTGTGGACTTTGGTTCAATGTACGCACCGATCAATTAGATCACTACATTAGTTATGTATGTACACACTAGTCAATGTTTGTACAATGAACACACTGGTCAACATGTGTACAATATACACACTGCTTCAAGTTCGTTAAGTTTATATGCATTAACCATGTTAGTTCGGGCAAGATGATCAACTGACGTGTATAGTTCAAAAAGGGGTGGGGTAGATTTGGCATACTTGACCCAAGCTATCAGAAACAAAATTTTGTTTGGGATCTTATCTGCTTGTTTATGCCTGCTGAAAATTTCGATAGCTGAGTTCAATAAAACATCCGGGTTTTGTCCAATTACCTTAATTATGATTGCTGATTATCAACCTGAATTTTTTAAAAATTAAAGCAGAAAAGACTACTCTAAAATATAGTGTGAACTTAAGTTCGCTAGAATAATAAACAAAAATAATATTGTCTATAATGCATACCATAAAGCCTCGATTAAATCGCTAGTTTTTAAATTTTCACTAACCTAGTGGAATTATATCGTCAAAATGGAGGCAATGAATTACATGTCTGTAATTACTAACTCTTTCTTCCACATCTTTAATTATATTAAAATAAGTTAGTAATTGAAAAGTATTATTAAAAAGTGTTAATCAGTTTATAATTAAATCATATTATTAAAAAAGTTTAAAAAAAATTATTACCTGAACCTATAGAATAAACCTTAGCTTAAACCTTGTTGGATTATAGAATCTATATGTCGTAGCAAAAAGTCAAACGTGTGAACATGAAATGTCTTTATTTCCCAACAATTTGATGTTTTGATGAAACAACACATCCTATTTCACCATTAATTTGATGTTCTAATGAAATCATATATCATATTCCCCCACAAATTGATGTTTTGATGAAACCACACAACCCATTATCCTACAAATTGATGTTTAGATAAAACCTATTCCCCCACAAATTGATGTTTTGATGAAACCACACAACCTATTCCCCCACAAATTGATGTTTTGATGAAACCACACATCCTATTCCCCCACAACTTGATGTTTTTAAGAAACAACACATCCTATTTCACCATTATTTGATGTTCTAATGAAACCATATTTCATATTCCCCCACAAATTGATGTTTTGATGAAACCACACATCCTATTCCCACACAAATTGATGTTTTGATGAAACCACACTTCACCCCCCCCCCCCACCGGGTACTTGTTAAAGCGGCGATTTAGACGGGCTCTAATACCCGTGTGTCACATTCATTCGTTTTCTCATTTGTAGCTACACGTAAACAGAGTTTCTTCCAGGCATCTCGTCGGGGGGGGGGGGGGGGGGGGGGGGGGGAGGGGGGCAAACCCCCCCCCCCCCCCCCCCCCCCGGAATTTTTTAACACCCCCCCCCCCCCCGAACGGAATGAAATTTATATAATTTATATAGAAAATATATACTTTTAACAGTGTCCGCCCCCCCCCCCCCGAAGAAAGTTTACCGCCCCCCCCCCCCCGAAAATTTCAAGTGCCCCCCCCCCCGGAGAAAAAAGTCTGGAAGAAACACTGCACGTAAAGCAAACTGTTCCATCTAGCTACAACATTTTTCTACACCCATCCCTATCTTTTCACACCCATGCCAATCTTTTTACTTTCTCGTAAACGTAGTATAAAGAAAGTATTGTAATCGGGCAAAAAGAAAAATCGAGATTTTTACAAATCTCGACGTTTTACACCTCTCTGAGTCGGAAAAACATAGTTTTGCAATTTTGTCCGTATGTCATGATTATATTAATAATAACAGCAGCCTTTACTTTTAAATATAGCTGGTCTATAAAAGAACCTACTCTTCCTCCTAATGTGTAGTCTTTGTTAGTTTTGAGAACAAAATATTCAATGTTCTGAAAAGCAATCTTACTTTCAAACGTTAGTATATGGCACTAACAGCAATTAATTAACGTATTTGTATGCACTGTCTGATTACTTAAATTACTGGGAATAAAACTGAAATTCTAACTGAGAATGTGAACCAGATACTGCCAACCCGTGGATGCCATCCCGACTGTGCCAACCAGTCAGATCTAACTTGCCAACGCCGTCATTGGATTGTCTCAACCTAATTTACCGACTCAATAAGACTGATAAAATAAAATAAAAAACCCAATGTCTGAGTTCTGGCTTTTAATAAACACTTCTTATCAATCAAGTTTTTCTCTCAGTTTCACCCCCATCCCTCCACCCCCACCCCCATCTTCCCGCCAATCCAACCATTTTGGGAAAATTGTTTTTGGCAGCACTTTCAGCCAAATTCACAGGCTAGTTCCCACCATTCATCATTTTACTTGTATAAACAGAATAAATAAAAACACACAAGAGAAATAGAAAAAAAAGGATATTGTCTAGCAAGACAACCAAAGAAAATCTGTAACACAGAACTTGTTATAAAAAAAAACGAAAACAAAATAAAGCCGACTGAATTAATTTTAGAGAAAGCAAGAGCAATTTTCTACGCCAATAAACCGGGTCAATTCTCTCCACAACCCACAATACTATTATAACTGGGATAAAAATAAACGAATCATAATTTCTACCGGATAGCTATTGACAACAGATAATATAAATGGGGCTTGCGGTGCTCCAGCGGTCACCCCGATCTCTATCACAACGAAGGAACTCCTCATTTATTGCTACTTATTACTCCTGACTAACTCGGTATTTTCCCTTGATATTAACATCGTGCGCTGCTTGTGTCCAATCTTATTCCCCTTTATTCCCCTTCGTCTGTGTAATTTTCTATTTTTTTTTCCTCAATCTACAAGGCATCGTAAAAATAGAATGAATTGGTTATTTACGAGCTGGGCGGAAATAAATGCGAGTCGCTGTATCTTCCGCACAGGTTTACTCTTTAGACTGTTATTTCCGGCAAGTGTGGACGGACGCGCGCCTGTCTTTCAACGCCACGGTGGAGCGGGTGACGAACGTGTCGCTGAACGTCAAAATGCTGGAGCGGATCTGGCACCCGGATACCATCTTCATCAACGGCGGCCCGTCTTACGTGCACACCATCACCACGCCCAACAAGTTCTTCCGGCTCTCCCACGACGGGACGATACTCTACTCGCAGAGGTTAGTACCCCGCATCACGTGATTAGGGGGGAGGGGTCAAAGTTGAATTATCCGGGACTCCCTGCGGCTAATTTTATTCTTATCACTACGTTCATGGACAGCTGGTTTATTTTATGTTTCTTGCACGTGTCTATTAAGGCCATAACAAATGAAATCTTTAAAGAAAAAACAACAACAACAGGTCCTCTATTACTATAAACAAATATAAACAGTGGCGGAACTAGAAAAAAAAACCTGCTCTCCCCTCCAAAAAATTTTCCCGGTCTGCCCCCCTCCCCGAGGGTCTCGCGGTATAGTAGTTCCGCCCCTAAATATAGCTTGTTACATTCGGCGCTAACACAAACCCTAACCCAAGTCTTACCACAGCCTTATCTCAGAGTCTGCCGCTACCACTAAATCTGATATTATAGCACTGCTATCTACCTAACGCACCTCTTTTTGGACGAGTCCATTTTAGACTACGTACTGGTACCACTAAATCGGATATTACAATACTGCTATCTACCTAACGCACCTCTTTTTGGACGAGTCCACTTTAGAGTACTGGTACCACTAATTCTGATATTACAACACTGAAATCTACCTAACACACCTCTTTTTGGACGAGTCCACTTTAGAGTACTGGGACTACTAAAGCTGATATTACAATACTGTTATCTACCTAACACACCTCTTTTTGGACGAGTCCACTTTAGAGTACTGACATTACAACACTACTAGCAACATTACAGCTGTGCATAGTGCTAACCGCACTATCTCTTCACATGCCGAGGTAACAGAAACACGTGAACTCTACTTCACTTGCCCAATAGACCGTCAGGTTTGAAAGGGAACTTACTTAATTACTAGCAACCTTAACACATATTTTTTTTATTTTTTTTTTAAATAGCCTACTGTAGAATACTGGTAAAAGGAGTAAAAAAAACTGCCTTATAGCTGTACGAAAATCTTTTGGTACCTCTAAATGTCGGAGCCCCTACGTATAGCCCCATTTTTCCACAATCCGCCACTACCTTTGGCTACACACGTTACTCAGTACTTGTATTGGGCACGTTGATCAGCTGTACTCACACTGTTAAATAGCAACAAAAATAATATCAATAAAACCCACACCAACATAAACTCTAATATTACACTTAACCTTGACCTTTACTTTAGCCAAAAACCGGGCCGTCAATTTACAGACGATACCAACAACACGAATATTAATCGATATTAAAGATAAAACTCGTTCTTATTCCCTGCCAATATTGTGTGCCAGATTAATCTATGCAGGGGGTCCATGGTTAAATATAGAAACGATCGGTCCACGCCACTAACTTTCTCCACGTAGATTCGCTACCATTCAGCCAGGTAATTTAATAATCGGGTCATCTAAGTGCTAAAAGTGCAACGGCCCTTAAGACGGTTGCCAACACCGCCCCTTGTTTGATCCGGCGCCGTCAGACGTAAGCTCTTTACAGACGGCTTTCCTTTAACCCCTCCCTCTCTCTTCGACCTACTTAACCTTTTTGCGTCGGCTATTCTTTGTTATCACCATGTAGCTGTTACGACAGACAATAAACTCACTGGTACTGACGTTGATATTGTTGTTTCTCTTACACTTGACCTGTCTTTGACACGGTCTCACCTTTGAACTTTTACAAATTCATTCTCTATCTTAGATCTGTGTGTGTTGAATGTTATAACCACAGTGACCTATGAACTGCGTTACAGACCTTAGGGTCGTTACTATGGAAACGCTAAACAGTTTTAACCTTTTCTAAAACAGGCTGACCATCAAGCGCTAAGACCGTTTTAACCTTTTCTGAAACAGGTTGACCATCAAGGCGAGTTGTCCTATGCACCTGGAGAAGTTTCCAATGGACACACAGCAGTGTCCTTTACACATAGCCAGCTGTAAGTAAAACATCCTTTACACATAGCCAGCTGTAAGTCGCACATCCTTTACACATCGCCAGCTGTAAGTAAAACGTCCATTATGTCGCGGTGTCCTTTACACATCACCAGCTATAAGTCGTACATCCTTTACACATCGCCAGCTGTAAGTCGCACATCCTTTACACATCGCCAGCTGTAAGTAAAACGTCCATTATGTCGCGGTGTCCTTTACACATCACCAGCTATAAGTCGTACATCCTTTACACATCGCCAGCTGTAAGTCGCACATCCTTTACACATAGCCAGCTGTAAGTCGCACATCCTTTACACATAGCCAGCTGTAAGTAAAGCATCCTTTACACATCGCCAGCTGTAAGTAAAGCATCCTTTACACATCACAAGCTGTAAGTAAAGCATCCTTTACACATCACCAGCTATAAGTCGTACATCCTTTACACATCGCCAACTGTAAGTCGCACATCCTTTACACATGGCCAGCTGTGAAAACCTTAAATTATAACAAAACATCTCTTCTACAAAACCTTAACCGTAACAGGTACATACACCGTAACATACCTTACATTATAACAAAACATGCTATCTCTTCTACAAAACCCTAACCGTAACACTTACATGCACCTGTAACAATCATCCTGACCTGGTATCGTTGAACATGTAAATCAGGGGTCGAGGACCTGCTTTAAACAAATCCACTTCATTATTCCTGCTATTGATTATTAAAAGGTACCGTAATTTAAATCATATTTTTATTTATAATATTATTTATTGTAATCACCTAATAATAGGCATAATGTATCACTAAAACATTAAAACACAAAAAAAAACAGATGGTTGTTTGAAAGGTGGGTTGAGACAGTGGATCAACTGGTTTGCAACTTTTGAGACAGAAGCCGTATGCTCTACCCTTTCACCACTCCTGCATTATGTGCGGTTGGGTTTGGGTACAAAAAAAAATGACAGGCTGCTTTGTTATAAAATATGCGCACATACTCCACTGGCCCATACACGTTTTTTTTTTTTAACACGTAGAAAAATCAAAACGCAATAAATTCATGACTTAATTCCTGTCCAAAATCAAAGTTCTAGAACTTGAAAAGTTAAATCATGTCCGAAAATCGAAGATCTGGCACCAGACCAACGAGACACAAAGAATTTGGATTTAGCCCAAACACCAACTTATGTTTTGTGCAAGCCGAATACACGACTCGCTCAATTCATGGTTCGTGTTCAATAAAGACCCGATATGTAAAATCAGCGGTAGACTAGCTTTTAATATTGTAACCGTGGTATGTGTAGAACCAATGGTGGTGTGTGAATAGACTTGTAGGTAGGGGCCGTGAGATAATGACTATGGAAATAATATAACTCAAACATTTAGCAATTATCAATGAAGATTATATTTAAAAAATACCTTTTTAATATTACATTCTTTTTATATCACATTGTAATTTTATCATCAAATCACCATTTATTGTTGCTGTTATTAGAACAAAAAATACATTAATTTTCAACGCATTAAATTTTACTTTGGGTCAGGGGTCAATGATCAGGGTCAGGGTTAGGATTATGGATAGTCTAAGAAACAAAAGTTTGACCAAGGGGACTAATTGGAGGACATTGAATTTATTTCCAAGTTCATCGAATACAACACAAAATCATCTATACTGTAAAAGAGCACATTATATCAACAGGATGTGAGATCTAAGCACTAAGTTCATTTCCTAAGTACGATTTATCTACACTTTGTAAAAACTATAAAATTTTGTTTACAAGGGAGGCAATTTTAAGTAAACTGCTGTAATTAACAATCAGAAGATATGTATACTTCCGTGAAAACGTTTTAATACTTTGACAACGCTGTTTTATTTTCAAATATATTTAGTATAGGTTATTGTGAATATGTCTAAAAATTTATACTTTGCTAATAGAAAGTATTTTACTTTTAGCACTAATTCAGAACATATACACCATTACTTTTTGTTCAGAAAACTTCTATTTAGTAGTATTAATTCATATATTTGTATAATATCCAAAATATCAAAACCTAAATTTTAGATCCCTTGCCATCAAGGGACATAATCTCCAATCAATTTTGAATATCTATTCATCTACTTATTTAAAGTTCTAAATCTTGCTTCTTTCCCCTCATCTTTCACACAGCAACCTTATGAAAACTCAACGCGACAAGTAGAACACTCTTTCAACTGGTCAACATAATTTGTTTCTCTACATAGAAAATGCTTCACTGTCCCATTGACTCTCCCCAACCCCCCCCCCCTCCTTGAACAATTTCCTTTCCACTCCCCACCCGGACTCCGACACTTTCATTTGACCTTTAACCCTTTTACTGTTACCCCTTTCAATTTTGTACAATCACATTATGTACATTTGTAAAATCTTTCGTTTTCATGTGAAGTTCGAAATTATGTAAAGAATTTGATGTTGATGTACTTGTTTTTTTTAAATTTGCAAATAAAAGTATTTAAAAAAGGACATAATTGAAAATGAAATTACCATTGATAAAGTTAAGCACTCCACAAAGAACTTTTTTGTTACTTACACAATTTATAGCTTTGGCACCCAACAGTAGGTTTAGGGTTAGGAATAGAAAGCTGACCAATAGGATATTGAATTTCCAAGACTAACAAGCATAACACAAGAGAATGTTGTGCGCTCACGTTGAAGCTTGGAATCAAATTTTAAGAATGTTAACTGAATTAATGAAATACTTGACATTTTATATAGAAGTGTTTGGGTCACTTTAGTATCTATTGGATAAAGTAAGTAAAGTCTCCTTTTCAAACCTGACGGTCTATGGGGCAAGTGAAGTAGAGTTCACTTGTTTCTGTGACCTCGGCATATGAAGAGATAGTGTAGCCATCACTATGCCCAGCCGCCCTTACTTTCCCTAACGTGAGTTAGGTACCCATCAGAGTTCGGTGGACTATGGGACGGTCTACTGCCTTGAACCCGGATTCGAAATCTATTGGATACCTTTACTAATATTTAGGAAAAGACCCACGCTTTTCTTTAAAGTTATTTAAATAGTAGTGTATAATTTAGTGCATTATAACCTAAAAGCTTGTTATTAAAACGTTTTTTAATAAAAAAAAATTCAATATTTTAAAATTTAAATTTTTTTAAAATAGAGTTGCAAGACTAAAACCATTGCGCACCTAATGAGCGTGATGACGCGAATATAATAGTGCGGAATAGTTTGATGAGACAGCCTACTAATATGGACATAATTTTAATTAATTAATAAAAATTAATTAAGCAAAATTATGTGTTTTCTTAATGTTAATTTAAGAAGTTTATTTAAAAATTGCCTCCCTTGATGCTTGTATTTTTTTTTTACTTTCTCGTATACGAAATATTGTAATCGCAATATAACTTTTTAGAAATCTCAATGTTTTAAAACTCACTGAGTTAAAAATAAAGTTAGTTTTGCAGTTTTGTACGTCGGTGAGTCTGTACACACGATAACTTGAGAACCGTTTCACTTATGTTGACGAATTTTCATGTAAAGGTATTAGATCTATATCAAATTTGTAGTTCTGCTTCAACTTATGCAGTTATCAATGAAGAGAATATTTTAACAATACCTTTTTAAATATTGAATTCTTATTTTATGATCTTGACATTTTATCATCAAACCATTAAAGATTTATCAAAAATATTTATCAACAAAAACATAAAAATCAAAATTCAACTGATTGTAAAAACCTTAAAATTTGGAACTGAGAAATAATATAACATCTTTTCATTTATTAAAGTAGAATAATTTAATAAGCAAAATATTCACTATTTTGCCGATTTTTATTGATTCAATATTTTTCATTAATATTTATATTTAGAACATACTAACCCTTCCCCCTCCAACACCTGAAAAAGATCAGCCCCTGTATAAAAAGTATGGGCACTGAGTAAAGTGTTTAGAATTTTTTTAATGTCCAGCGATGTGTACTAGAATGACAGAACAGTATTACTCCCTTTCTTTTAATATTAAAAAAAAATTAAGAGTTGTTGTTCCTTTGTATCAGCCACTGTTGACAACAATCTGATAAAAAAATATTTAAGTAAGCAAAATACGTAATGATTGGCACATTTGATGGTAGATAAGTCACGTGACAACAACAACTCATAGTAGACAAGACCCATCACCTCTGTTGAAGTCCCCCCCCCCCCCCATCCAAGTAACTGAACGATGCTGGGCGCTCTACGCCTAGAATCTACACAATCTCTTCATGCATTGCGGCGACAGAAACACACGAACTCTACTTCATCTGCCTAATGAGCCGTCCTTAAGGGTTTAATTTTTTTTTCTTTCTCGAAAATTAAAAATAAAACACTTATCAAAAATAAAAAGTATAACTAAATTATATAATTAAATAAAAAAGAAAACTAACGCAAATGTAAGCGCCCCCCCCCCTTTTTTTTTGCCTTATCCAAATCTGAACATATCTTTCACATCAACCTCAGCCCGCACACACACTTTTCTCATAAAATCGTTGCAACCTTGACATTAATATTCATTTTACATTTCCATAATTGCTGTTAAACTAATTTCACGTGACACATATCTATTCTTTCCATATTGTGTATTAGAACATGCCCGCTAATTGAAGCCGTACGGTGGGAATAGATTGTCCGAGTACGTAACGATGGAGAGTGGACCCTATAGAAGGCCTTTGATATTAACCTAGACTTGACCTTTGAACTACCATCTATATCACGGGTTCCCAACCTGGGGGTCGCGACCCCCCTGGGGGTCGCGAAGGTCTTTCTGGGGGGTCGCCAACTGGTATACTAAACCTTAGTAATTTGAAACAAAACATAAATAGTTAGAAGAATTTTTGAAATTCGGCTTCATTAACATCAATGGAAATGTAATACTAATAGAGAAGAAACAAAGCGCACTGTACAAAGTTGTTTTAAGTCACGAATCTATGAAATCTTTAAAACCAAAACGTCATTTGAGACGAGTCATTCGGAACACACCAAAAAATATATGGAGTTCTTTCGTCGGTAAGAAGCTAGTTGCAATCGCCAAAGACTTGATCGAACAGGAAGTTTTCACCAGCATTAGTGCAAGCATCAAATGAAGTCGCGATAGAAAATGCCAAGCAAAAAAACAAGTTAATTAAAAAGTCTAGTATTTTACATGTTTTATTTACAATAGAGTTACATGATTAAAAACCATTGCGCGCCTAGCTACTGAACGTGATGACGAAGCCATATAACGTGATGTTGCAGCTATTGAACGTGATGACGCGTGTGGTGTGGTTGGAAAAAATGCCTACTAATTCGGTCCAAATTTTAATTAATTCAAAAATTTTTTTGTGACCGAACGAAAGGATATTTTTGAAAACTTTCTTCGGCAATATTGTTCTAAATTATGGCAGGAATCGATTGGTACATGTTTCAAGTCGCTAAGTGGTCTGGTTGCCGAGATATGGGCCAAAAACTGCTTTTTTTTCGAGGTTTTTTTGGCTTTTCCGGGAAATCCATGAAAGAAACCCGGAATTTTTATAGCCTATGTTCATCCTCGTAACTTGCTTAACATAATTGCTTTTGGAACTAGTCATCGATATTGCTTCGTTGAGGAGGAGATACGACTTAAAGCTGCGGACACACATCCATCCATTCATTCATACATTCATACATCCAGAAATGACGGGTTAATAAACGCAATTCTCCAGAATGGAAATTGCGCTAAAAAAAAAAAAAAAAACAGGAGAAAATCTCATCATGCATGTACGTAAATGTTAAATAACACATTTTTATTGAAATTAAGCTTTCACCATTGTTTGCTTTTCAAGTTGATAAATCAACAGAACGGCTGTGGGGGTTTGTACGGATGGTGCGCTATCTATGTTTAGCTCAAAATCGGGCTTTCCGAAAACAGAAAAGATTTAGCTCCCTAACCACTGCCCTAACCAATCGACATCAAGAGTCCATTGCTAGTATAAGTCGTAAATTATATAAAATCTGCAGCCTTCAAAGAACTGAGCAAAAAACATTAATATAGATCACGAGGTTCTGCTCTTCTACACTACAGTACGCTGGCTGTCAAACGAAATGTAGTAAATTGTGTTTTTGAATTGAAATCTGAAATCAAATTGTTCTTGGAAGTGCAAAGGAAACAAGACTTTTTGGGATACTTAAAACGACATAGAGTGGTTGGAGAGAGTATCATACCTAGCAAATGTGTTCGAACATCAAGATAAGCTTAACCTGAAGCTTTAGGGAAAATGAACGAATATTATATCTTTCCATGATAATCTCGAGGCATTTTTATCAAAGCTGCAAAATCGGTAAAGAAAATAAATCTTGGAAATATTGTAAATTTGAGAAACTCTGCAGTGTGGTAGTGAATCTGATTGTGAGATAATTAATATTTTGAAAGAAGCGATTTCTGGGCATCTTGAATCTCTTGAAAACGAACTGCATCGCTATTTCTCTGAGCTGTAAAAAGAAGAATCTGCATTTACGCATTACCCATTCTCCTCTTCCCCTGATGTTGCCAGCATTCCCGATGAATTACAAGATGAATTCTTTGATTTGCAGAATGATTCCGAGTAAGATGAAAAACTGCAGACACAATTTTGGTGTAGTATTCACCATTCATACCAAAACGTAAAATTGATTGACTTTTCGAGAATATATTTTCAACACTATTCTCCGATTAAAAACAAAATTAAGATAATTATAATGACATAGGTCTGCGTTAACAACAATTTTTTAAAATTAAAAACTTAACCACGAAGGTTTAGTGAATAGTATGCAATTTTACTCATGCTATTAAAATAGTTATCAAGAGTAGTTCATATTGAAAGTCTACTAGAAAATCTTATTTTAGTGCTTATTAATTTCCATACTAATTTCGGCTTTTTAATTCTATGGGGGTCGCGGGTCACTTACTTTTTATAAAAGGGGGTCGCCACTCGAAAAAGGTTGGGAACCACTGATCTATATTTACTACTCTAAATGTCATCCAAGATTTTTTTGTTTTTGTTTTTACCTGTTCTAATGGTGTTTCCGTAGACTCTAGGGCCTAGAGTGAAATAAAGTCTTATGTTCCTTGCTGTTCCCTAGTACTACACTAATTCTTATGTTCCTTGCTGTTCCCTAGCACTACACTAATTCCTATGTTCCTTGCTGTTCCCTAGCACTACACTAATTCTTATGTTCCTTACTGTTCCCTAGCACTACACTAATTCTTATGTTCCTTGCTTTTCCATAGCACTACACTAATTCTTATGTTCCTTGCTGTTTCATAGCACTACACTAATTCTTATGTTCCTTGCTGTTCCCTAGCACGACACTAATTTCTATGTTCCTTGCTGTTCACTAGCACTACACTAATTCTTATGGTCCGTGCTGTTCCCTAGCACTACGCTAATTCTTATGTTCCTTGCCGTTCCTTTGCATTAAACTAAACCATTATGTTCCTTACTGTTCCCTAGCAGTAAAACTAATTCTTAAGTTCTTTGAATTACCCTAACAGTGAAACAAAACTTTTTGTTCATTTCAGTTCCCTCCCTAGCAGTAAAACAAAACATTTTATAAATTTTGTTATGCCCTAGCATGAAAGTAAAACTTTATGTTCCTCGCTGTTCCCTAGCGGTAAAATAAAAACTAAAACACTTCCTTTCTATTCCCGCGCAGTAAAACAAATCCTTACTTTCCTATGAAGTCTCCTGAGAAATTCATCTTTCAACTCCTGCCTGTCTACCTTACTAATTCTATCTTTTTTTTTTCAATAAATTATTTGCATCAATCTAGATACCAATTTATTCACCGTGTTCTCCTCAGTTGGGTACCCTGTGGAAGATGTCATCTACGAGTGGCATTACGGCAACGAGTTGGCCGCGGTGGCATCAAATGACATGAGGTTATCCCAGTTCGACCTCAGGGGAATGCCCGCTTGTAACGTCACAAGGGAGTTCAAGGGAAGTAAGTCTGAAACATTCGTAGTATGATTGCGGTTGAAAAAAAAAATTATATTTTTATTTTTAAAAAAAATATTTTCATTTAGTAATAAGGAAAGATATAAAAGTGATTTAGTAAGAACAAAAATTTAAGAAAAAAAAGATATATAAAAATGTGAGACAATTCAATATGATTGATGTTGTAATTTTTAAATTGTACAGAGTTGTTTCCCTTGAGGAAAGACGAGAAATTGAGGTATGGCATATTCATCTCACACATTCACACGTACACCAGATTACAGGAAAGACAGATTTGTAACTCACAAATATTTGAATCATCGCTTACAAGAAATATCCTGATTTATTTTTTAATGGAAAATATATCAAAATCTCGAAAGGGTGAAAATTGCGTTAGGGACAGGGGGTATAAATCGAATTTTATTTTTATATAAAAAAGAGAAGATAACTTTGTTGAATCTGCGATGCTATGTTGTAATGTCAATGAAGACATTCCTTTTTTTTGTCCATCCTTCAGCAGCTTCCAGAAAGTAAATACACCGGAAGTCGTGGGAAGTGTCGGTCTGTTGGCTTTAAATTCTCGCGACACCCCCCGCCACTGGCAGGTTTCTCAGCTCCGGTTCAAGATGGACCTCGTTAGCGAAGATGGACCACCATCCGATACGCCGATTACGGTTTAACCGAACGAAAACGCCACGATTTCTCTATGTAAAAAAAAATAGAGAAAAAAAGATTGAGAAAAATGACAGTTCGATACCGCGTGGCTGTTCAGTTTTCGATACCTCGTTAGATGGCGTTACACGACCCCAGAAGGAGAGGGGGTGGGGGTGGGGTGGGGACGAGGGGGGGGGGGGGGGATATCCCACGTGACAGGAAGGAGAAAGTAGACGATCAATCATGAATCTAGCGATGTCGGTTCTAAATGAGAACACAAGCCTCATTTTGTAACAAGATGTTAGGGGGGGGGGGGGAGTTAAAAGAGAGAAAATATTTAGATTCGTTTCCTCCGTGTGTATTTATTAAGTGATATTTATCTTTTAAAGAAAAAAGCCCAACTTCATTAATTTTCGGGTTTTGCAATAATTTTTTTAAACAAATGTCACGTGACCCTTAGTTTTATTTTTAATTTGACATCAAATTTGGAGCGTGAGAAATCTATCTACAGTGGTTTTCTGGACGTTTTTGCAATTTGGAAAAACCTTTCGCACAGAGCTTAGATTACACATCACACGGGGAGTTTTTCATCTTTTGTAAGCGCCCAGGGAATAACAACCGGAGGTCATTAAACTTGCGGTTTGTAGGCCAGAATTAACTCTCTACCAAGTTGACCATTGTCCAGTCGGCGATATTCTACAGCGGTATTTTCACACCTAGACGACATTTGCTCCCACCCACTGGTTCTTTTAGGTACCTCTCCGCCCCACCCTGAAGCACGTCTACCGCCCATACCCCCGGAGCATATCCACTCCATTCACCCCCCCCCCCCCCCCACCAAAGCATGTCCACCTCTCCCATCCCACAGCATGTCCACCGCCCATCCACTACCATCATGGACAAAATAAAAATGTATAGGGCACAACCATTGTACGCCCCTCCCGAAAGTTTCAAGTGCCAACCTCTTTTTCCCGGAGAAAAATGCCAACTAAATAAAGCTCACCCTGGGTTAACTTGTCTTAACGCATTAAATTTTACTTAGGGTCAAGGGTCAGCGTTAGGGTTAGGATTATGGACAATGTAAGATAATAAAATTGACCGAGAGGACTAACTAATGGATATTGAATTTCTAAGTTTATCGAGTATTTAAACAAGAGCATCTTGAGCGCTTGCGTTGTAACTTGGAATCAAATTTTAAGAATGTTTACTGAAATAATCAAATGAGTATCCTTTGACGCTTAGATCTACAATATTGTGTTTTTGTTTTTCCTCAGACTAATTCGTCACACTATAGAGGAAATACGCAAGTGCTTATATCGTCTCATATCCTGCCGCTGTGTTTATGTCCTCTTATCTGTAAAACGACATGTATCAAAAGGATGTGAGACGACATAGGCACGTTGCGTATTTCCTCCACCATTAGACGCATTAAGCAATACTCTAAACATTGAGTCATAGTTAGATGTCCCTTGATTTTACAGGGATCCAAAATTTTTCAGTTATTTTTTGTTTTTGCCATAAGCCTGTAAAGTAAACGAATAATTTAAAATAAGAGCTTTTTTGACAAAAAAGTATGGCTTTTTGTTTTGCAATAGTGCTATAATTAAATATTATTATTCAAAAAAAGTACAATTTTTAGAACATTTATAATAATTTATAATGATTATGTAAAAAAAAGATAAATTAACTTTATCAATAAGCACATTATTTTCACAAAAGTATATAAATATATATTCTTATTGCTAATTAAGCAGTTTATCTTAAAATTGCTTCCCTTGGAAAGTATGTTTTCATACAGTGTAAAGTATAGATAAATCATTGCTTAAGGGGGTCATCCATAAATGACGTCTTGATTTTTTTTGTGTGACGATATTTGCCTCCCCCTCATGCTCTCCGTCACACAGCGTCACAAAAAGTCAGCCCCCCCCCCCCCTTAAAATGACGCCACACCTCAGCCTACAACAACCCTTCAAAATTGCAGTTGAATTTTTCTTAAAATCTTGTCTGAACTCTGTCAACATATATTATTATTTTCATCAATTTCTATTGTAATTTATAAAAACAATTTTCTAAAATGCAAAATAACGGCTAAAATTCGTTTTCTAACATTTCTTTTATATAATGAGAAAAGTGTGACTTCACACCATCTGACCCCCCCCCCCCCCCCACACACACACACACATCACACACGGTCACAAAATTACGGACCGCCCTCCCCCTACGGGTGGACGACCCCTAAGGCCCCTATATATGAATGATATGTATATATATCTATGTGTATATATATATGTATATATATATTTATATAATATGTATATGTATATATATGTATATATGTTACGGTCAAAACCCAAAGTCGGCCAATGCGCGGATTGGCCAATATCGCCTCCCATTGACCGGTCAAAGTCCGAAACTTTGCTTGATTTCGGCCTTTGGCCGGCCAATTCGCGGACTGGCCATGGTGGACCGGCCAAAGTCTTAATTAGAATATCATCTGGCTAGGGACGACCGGCCAAAGTCCGAATTAGAAGATCATGAGCAGATTTTTTATTTTATGCCGTAAGGATCATGAAATTAAGTTTTTATTGATTATTAATTAAAGTAAATGACAGAAACATTCAAAAATTTTATTGTACTATAGTCTCAATCAATCAATATTATTGTTTGTTACAACAAGTTGAACTGTTATGGCATTTAGAATTACATAGTAGCTTGTTATTTTTACACTTGCAGCGATTTGTTATGCACTTGGTTGTGCAATTGCAGCGAGTGCAGCCTTGGCCCCCGGTCAATGATTGTGAAGATGCGATGGTTTGTAGTGATTTTTCCTCAGTGCCAACTGACGACAATAAGAGCAGTTTTTCGTGGAGAATTGAAAACTCACTTCTAGCATACAGTTGTTTTAGAATACCATGTTCCGTTCCCAATTTGTAGAAACCGCCCTCGACGCTCATTACAACTGCAATCACGCTTCGGGGATCACCGAGACCTCTGTCAACATCTGGAACACGGATGCGTACATTGTCACCCACTTCAGCATCTTTAAATTTTGAACCGGCCAATGTACAAAATACGCTGTCAAGTTTAAGCGCTTCGGACTTTGGCCAGTACGTCCCGGCCAGTGCGCGCATTGGCCGGCCAATGTACGAAATACGATCTTAGTGCTAAGTTCTTCGGGCTTTGGCCAAGAGAGCCGGCCGGCATTGGCCCCACTTCGGGCTTTGACCGTAACATATATATGTGTATATATGTATATATATATATATATATATATATATATATATATATATATATATATATATATATATATATATATATATATATATATATATATATATATGTATATATATATATATATATATATATATATATATATATATATATATATATATATATATATATATATATATATATATATATATATATATTATACATAAAGAGAGAGAGAGCGAAAGACTCACACTATGTGTTTGTGGGTTTGTTTGTCTTTTACGCAATATTACCCCTTTCCTCCGATCGCCCTAATTATCTCTCATGAAATTGTGTACTAATGAATGCAATCTTTCCCCACAGCCCGCCACTCCATCCTGACGGTTTATTTTGACTTCAGACGACACACGGGTTATTTCCTCATCCAGGTTTACCTCCCCTGCTGTCTGCTGGTAGTCCTGTCCTGGGTCTCGTTCTGGATCAACCGCGAAGCGACGTCAGACAGGATTTCGTTAGGTGGGCCTTGTCGTGCCAGTTTATCTGGCCAGTTTATCTGGCCAGTTTATATGGCCAGTTTGTCTGTCCTGGCCAGTTTGTAAAATACAGAGAGGCTTTTGTTAGGTAGGCTTTGTCTCAGAGGCGTAGCGAGGGGGGGGGGGGATGCGGACCGCACCGGGTGACACCATTTAGGGGGGGGGGGGGGACACCAAGGCAAAAAAAATCAAAATATATAGAGAAAAATGATAATTCCACTTAATTAAGTGATTAATTAGAGTTTTAAATAGTCTTTTAAGAGGTGCAAATCGAAAGTTAGAGGGGGGGGGGAACCGAAAATTGAAAGTTTGTCCCGGGGAAAGGTCGCTACGCCTCTGGGAGTGACACCATTAAGTGCCGCACCAGGTGACACCCGACCTCGCTACGCCACTGCATTGTCTTGCCATTGTATAAGGTGTTGTCTTGGCAAAATCTCGCTGAGCCACCAGGATCGTTGCTATAAATCATAATAATGTTATCATTCAAGCTTTGTTTTTTTTTTAATGTCTTCATTTAAATATTCTTCTTCCAATTTGTTGTTTTGCTATTATTGCATATTGAAATTCGTAAATGACCCTTAACTTTGTATGCATCAGTCCTCATGTCCAAATGCAAAAAAAAAAATATATAAAAAAATGAAAAAAAAAATAAAAATAAAAAAGAATTCACCATTAAATGGGGGGGGGGGGGGGCGGTTTAATTTTTTTTCCCGGCCGCTTAGACCCAGCCAGCCCACCCCTGCAAGTTTGTCAAAATTATAATGGGAGGTGATGGTTGTGGGGTCAGGTTGTCAAATTATAATGGGAGGTGATGGTTGTGGGGTCAGGTTGTCAAATTATAATGGGAGGTGATGGTTGTGGGGTCAGGTTGTTAAATTATAATGGGAGGTGATGGTTGTGGGGTCAGGTTGTCAAATTATAATGGGAGGTGATGGTTGTGGGGTCAGGTTGTCAAATTATAATGGGAGGTGATGGTTGTGGGGTCAGGTTGTTAAATTATAATGGGATGTGATGGTTGTGGGGTCAGGTTGTCAAATTATAATGGGAGGTGATGGTTGTGGGGTCAGGTTGTCAAATTATAATGGGAGGTGATGGTTGTGGGGTCAGGTTGTCAAATTAGAATGGGAGGTGATGGTTGTGGGGTCAGGTTGTCAAATTAGAATGGGAGGTGATGGTTGTGGGGTCAGGTTGTCAAATTAGAATGGGAGGTGATGGTTGTGGGGTCAGGTTGTTAAATTAGAATGGGAGGTGATGGTTGTGGGGTCAGGTTGTCAAATTAGAATGGGAGGTGATGGTTGTGGGGTCAGGTTGTTAAATTATAATGAGAGGTGATGGTTGTGGGGTCAGGTTGTCAAATTATAATGGGAGGTGATGGTTGTGGGGTCAGGTTTTCAAATTATAATGGGAGGTGATGGTTGTGGGGGTCAGGTTGTCAAATTATAATGGGAGGTGATGATTGTGGGGTCAGGTTGTCAAAATTAGAATGGGAGGTGATGGTTGTGGGGTCAGGTTGTTAAATTATAATGAGAGGTGATGGTTGTGGGATCAGGTTGTCAAATTATAATGGGAGGTGATGGTTGTGGGGTCAGGTTGTTAAATTATAATGAGAGGTGATGGTTGTGGGGTCAGGTTGTTAAATTATAATGGGAGGTGATGGTTGTGGGTTCAGGTTGTCAAATTATAATGGGAGGTGATGGTTGTGGGGTCAGGTTGTCAAATTATAATGGGAGGTGATGGTTGTGGGGTCAGGTTGTTAAATTATAATGGGAGGTGATGGTTGTGGGGTCAGGTTGTCAAATTATAATGGGAGGTGATGGTTGTGGGGTCAGGTTGTTAAATTATAATGGGAGGTGATGGTTGTGGGGTCAGGTTGTCAAATTATAATGGGAGGTGATGGTTGTGGGGTCAGGTTGTCAAATTATAATGGGAGGTGATGGTTGTGGGGTCAGGTTGTCAAATTAGAATGGGAGGTGATGGTTGTGGGGTCAGGTTGTCAAATTAGAATGGGAGGTGATGGTTGTGGGGTCAGGTTGTCAAATTAGAATGGGAGGTGATGGTTGTGGGGTCAGGTTGTTAAATTAGAATGGGAGGTGATGGTTGTGGGGTCAGGTTGTCAAATTAGAATGGGAGGTGATGGTTGTGGGGTCAGGTTGTTAAATTATAATGAGAGGTGATGGTTGTGGGGTCAGGTTGTCAAATTATAATGGGAGGTGATGGTTGTGGGGTCAGGTTTTCAAATTATAATGGGAGGTGATGGTTGTGGGGGTCAGGTTGTCAAATTATAATGGGAGGTGATGATTGTGGGGTCAGGTTGTCAAAATTAGAATGGGAGGTGATGGTTGTGGGGTCAGGTTGTTAAATTATAATGAGAGGTGATGGTTGTGGGATCAGGTTGTCAAATTATAATGGGAGGTGATGGTTGTGGGGTCAGGTTGTTAAATTATAATGAGAGGTGATGGTTGTGGGGTCAGGTTGTTAAATTATAATGGGAGGTGATGGTTGTGGGTTCAGGTTGTCAAATTATAATGGGAGGTGATGGTTGTGGGGTCAGGTTGTCAAATTAGAATGGGAGGTGATGGTTGTGGGGTCAGGTTGTCAAATTATAATGGGAGGTGATGGTTGTGGGGTCAGGTTGTCAAATTAGAATGGGAGGTGATGGTTGTGGGGTCAGGTTGTCAAATTAGAATGGGAGGTGATGGTTGTGGGGTCAGGTTGTCAAATTATAATGGGAGGTGATGGTTGTGGGGTCAGGTTGTCAAATTATGATGGGAGGTGATGGTTGTGGGGTCAGGTTGTCAAATTATAATGGGAGGTGATGGTTGTGGGGTCAGGTTGTCAAATTATAATGGGAGGTGATGGTTGTGGGGGACCGGTTGTCAAATTATAATGGGAGGTGATGGTTGTGGGGTCAGGTTGTCAAATTAAAATGAGAGGTGATGGTTGTGGGGTCAGGTTGTCAAATTAAAATGGGAGGTGATGGTTGTGGGGTCAGGTTGTCAAATTAAAATGGGAGATGATGGTTGTGGGGTCAGGTTGTCAAATTATAATGAGAGCCATTGAGAGGTGATGGTTGTGGGGTCAGGTTGTCAAATTAAAATGGGAGGTGATGGTTGTGGGGTCAGGTTGTCAAATTATAATGAGAGCCATTGAGAGATGATGGTTGTGGGGTCAGGTTGTCAAATTAAAATGGGAGGTGATGGTTGTGGGGTCAGGTTGTCAAATTATAATGAGAGGTGATGATTGTGGGGGTCAGGTTGTCAAATTATAATGAGAGGTGATGGTTGTGGGTTCAGGTTGTCAAATTATAATGGGAGGTGATGGTTGTGGGGTCAGGTTGTCAAATTATAATGGGAGGTGATGGTTGTGGGGTCAGGTTGTCAAATTATAATGGGAGGTGATGGTTGTGGGGTCAGGTTGTCAAATTATAATGGGAGGTGATGGTTGTGGGGTCAGGTTGTCAAATTATAATGAGAGCCATTGAGAGGTGATGGTTGTGGGGTCAGGTTGTCAAATTATAATGAGAGGTGATGGTTGTGGGTTCAGGTTGTCAAATTATAATGAGAGGTGATGGTTGTGGGTTCAGGTTGTCAAATTATAATGGGAGGTGATGGTTGTGGGGTCAGGTTGTCAAATTATAATGGGAGGTGATGGTTGTGGGTTCAGGTTGTCAAATTATAATGGGAGGTGATGGTTGTGGGTCAGGTTGTCAAATTATAATGGGAGGTGATGGTTGTGGTGTCAGGTTGTTAAATTCAACTGGGAGATGACGATTGTAAAGTCAGATTGTTAAGTTAAATTGGGAGATGAGGATTGTGGGGTCAGATTGTTAAGTTAAATTGGGAGATGACGATTGTGAGGTCAGATTGTTAAGTTAAATTGGGAGATGACGATTGTGGGGTCAGATTGTCCCATTCTGGTCATTATGGGATAACCAGGCCAACTGCTAACAATGCATAGAGAGTCGAGACTACAACACCGTCTCTGTTGTTTATCTCATTAAGTCACACACTGCCGCTTTAGTTTATTTTTCCTTTTGTCAAACACCACCACTGTGATCCCTACCAGGGGCGACAACCATGCTGACCATGACCTTCCTGGTGCTGGACAGCCGCAATGACCTCCCCCGAGTGGCCTACTCTACTGCCCTGGACGTGTACGTCTTCATGTGCTTCTGCTTCATCTTCGCCTCCATCTTGCAGTTTGCCGCCGTCCATTTCTTCACCAAGTACGGCACGGCCGAGTGGGACATCCGCCCTGTGCCAGAAACGGATGAGAAGGTGGGGGGGGGGGGGGGGGGGGGGCGGTGCGTGGGTGTGTTGTGTGTTTAGCGTTTCTGCAACATGTGTTTGTTTTTGTGAGCTGGGAGGGGGGGGGGGTGGTGGCGTGGGTGTGTTGTGTGTTTCGCGTTTCTGCAACATGTGTTTGTTTTTGTGAGCTGGGGGGGGGGGGGGGGGGGGGTGGTGGCGTGGGTGTGTTTTGTGTTTAGCCTTTCTGCAACGTGTTTGTTTTTGTGAGCTGGGATGAGATGGATGCATTGTCACTGCTACGGGAACTACTGGGTTTAAAACAAGAAGACGATATTTAAATAATTTAAGTGACGTATGACATGTTGTATAACATCGTCTAAAATGTGATTTATTTATTTTGTTAAGAGTCCGCCCATCTCTGATTGTTGGAATCTGGTTGGGCTTTAGTCCAAGCCGAATTTCTAAGATTACAACTGTATTGTTTACTGACTGCTTTTCTGATATATTTATTTATCTAGCCATTGTCCCATTGCTGTGGAAGCCACTTAGTTAAAATGTAATAAATGTAATAAATTAAAATTACATACTCGTTTTAACGAGACTGTGTGTCCCCCATAGGACGAGGATGAGGACGAAGGATTCGACTCGGGTGAAACCAACCATGAAAACCCTGAGCATGAAGAGGTCGAGTCAGCATTTTCCTGCCTGATGAAGATGTGGCGTTGTATCATGAGCACTAGAAGTCACAGGTTAGCTCTCCCCCCCCCCCCTTTTTTTTTACTTCTTCTAATGAGCACCAAAAGCAACAGGTTAGCCCCCTTTTTTTACTTCTTCTAATGAGCACCAAAAGCCACATGTTAGCCCCCTTTTTAACTTCTTATAATGAGCACCAAAAAGCCACAGGTTAGCCCCCTTTTTCACTTCTTATAATGAGCACCAAAAGCCACAGGTTAGCCCCCTTTTTCACTTCTTATAATGAGCACCAAAAGCCACAGGTTATCCCCCTTTTTTACTTCTTATAATGAGCACCAAAAGTCACAGGTTAGCCCCCTTTTTACTTCTTATAATGAGCTTCAAAAGCCACAGGCTAGCTCCTCTTTTTTTACCCTTTCGTTTCTTAGTTATAATGATTTTAGGGTAGGGTTGGAAGCTCACCCCCCCCCCCCCTGAAAAACTAAGAATTTGCGAAAAAAATACACTAAAGGCACCAATGTGTATAATGTGTGTAATATGTGAGGTGCGTAAAATTACTCAGATTCCAATTTCGGGTACGACTTCGCTGAGTCTACCCAGCTATGATGGGTGCCTGAGTTTCGTTAGGGAAAGTAAGGGTCACTAGGCATGGAACTTTCTATACTATTTCTTCAAAGGCTGGGGTAATAAAAAAACAGGTGAAATCTACTTCATTTTCCCCACTCACCATCTGGCCTGGAAGGGGAGTAGGGGAGGGGTGGCAGTCAATATAATCTATCCCAGTTGAATTCTTGTCAATGCTTTTTGTGCCTCGGTGGAACTGTATAAATAGCCCCTTGTCGCATTTTAACATTGAATTTCTAGGATCATCCAGTATAAAACGAGAGCATGTTGTGTTAATTAGACTTACATTTTTACACACTCTAAACATAAAACAAATTTAATATCACTATAAATTTTGATAAAATTATTATAAAAATAAGGTGGGAGTGATACCCACTAGACTTTCTAGAATATTCTTATATAACACCTACGTGGAATGGCAACTCGGGATATAGATATGATTTTTAATCCATTTTTAATTGCTTAAACTTTTAAAAATAGAATAGAATTTCGTAGAAAAAAAGAATAGTGCACCAAGTAAACAGAAAGCAATGTGTGTTTAATAGTGCTAATTATTAGTAGGCTACTTAATAAATACATATGCGTTTTTTTTTAGAAATCATAAATAGCGTAAAGTACTGTATCCGGTCAACGGAAAATCACTCAAAATTTGACAGAAGGCAGAGAATTAGATCTTTTACTTATATGCGAAATTCTTCTATCTCCCTGAAACAGTACTCAAGTTATAGGCTTTTGAAAAAGTTCAACTTCCGGTTACCGGAAAAGTTGATATAGAACTACAGATTTGAGAAAGAGAGAGGCAGAGAGAGAGAGAGAGAGAGAGAGAGAGAGAGAGAGAGGGAGAGAGGGGGGGTGGAAGAGAGTTTTTAACTAAGGGAAATGTAAAACGTCGAGAATTGTGAAAAACTTAATTTCTATTATTTTGCACACGAGAAAGTAAAAAAATTTGAGTTGCGATCAGTGATTATTCATTCAGTAGCAATAACCTACGCCGTCTTCTGACTAAGGTTATTACGCCGTCTTGACTATTGTTATTATTAGTTGTTGCTTTTTGTTTTCACTGTTTTTTATTTTCTTGTAAATTAAACAAAGAATATTTTGTACACGGATATAACATGCTAATTTTTCATATCATAGACAGACTTTCAATTTCTTTTTTTTTTTTTTTCTTAGATTTAACAAGAATGTCAGGAACTCTTTAGGCTTGAACAGTGTGAGTAAAATTGACAAAGTGGCGAGAGTTATGTTTCCTGTCGTCTTCTGTGGCCTCAACATTGTTTATTGGATGTCCTACTGGTAGCTTCCCCTGTCTGGCCCATACAATGTAGGCTATATTGCTTGCATCAGTGAACTGCTAGGCGCGATGCTGGTTAACGACGTTATCAATGTTGTGGACTGATGTAAATAAAGTATGCCAGTGTGAATAAATGTTTGTATGTGTGTGTACTTATACAATAATTATTGAGTGTGTACATCTTAAGATAGATTGTGTAAGTAAACTTGTGTGTTTGAATTAGTGCTAGAAAATGGTCCCGAATGTATTCGCCTGTATGTGTACATATAATAATGAATACCCAAGGGGTCGTCCGTAAATGACGTCAAACTCGTAGGGGGGAGGGTGGGGGTCCGTAATTTTGTTACGGTGTGTGATGAGGGGGGGGGGGGAAGGGGGTTTAGATGGTCAGTGTTTCTTCCGGACTTTTTTCTCCGGGGGGGGGGGGGGACTCTGGTAAAAGTATGTTTTCTATATACATTCCATTTCGTTCGGGTGGGGGGGGGGGGGCTCGGCCTTTTGCATTATAAAAAGCAATGTTAGAAAACTAGTTTTAGCCGTTTTAAGAAAACGAGTTTTAGCCGTTATCTCGCGTTTTGGAAATCTGTTTAAATAAATTGTAATAGGACTTGATTAAAATACTCTATGTTGACAGAGTTCAGACAATATTTTTGTAGGTTGATGTGTGACGTGAATTTAGGGGGAGGGCCTGGCTATTTGTGACGATGTGTGACGGAGGGGAGGTAAAAATCGTCCCAAAAAAGCGTGACGTCATTTATGTATGACCCCCAACCCTCTTTTATAAATTGGGGTAAACAACCCAATCGCTTTTTAAAGTGGTGCAGGACATTACCGGGAGAACGTGATTGACAGGGTGTAGTGTCCTGGACACATAAAAACGCCCCTCTCCCCCTCCACAATACAAATTAAAATACTCTGCTGCGATTAAGAATACAGCTCGTCACTAAAGTATTTTTATTATCTGCATCAAGTATGCGTACTTGGGTTTATGGTTATCAAACTGGTTAGCTTAACATTTAGTGGGCCGAGTATGTAGTGATTTCTAGATGAGTAATCGTGGTTAAGTTATTGTTTGCCGAATTTGAAGTTACTTCTAGATAAGTAATCGTGGTTAAGATTTAATGGGCCGAGAATGTAGTGATTTTTAGATGAGTAATGGTGGTGAAGATTTAGTGGGCAGAGTTTGTAGTTACTTTTAAGTGAGTAATCGTTTTAAAAATGTGGATGAGGTGCAGCGTCCAGATAACTTGTCAAAAAAATGTAATGAATTAATTACATGAGATTAGATTAGAACAGTGTGCGTCAATTCAAGTATCGTTATGCAATCGATAGCAATATTATTAGCGTTTTTTTTAGTGGCCTTGGACATGAACTTTTTCACATTTTTAGGTCGGACAGATAGCACAGCCATTGATAGCTCAGCCAGTACACACGTTCGTGGAGCAGGGGTCAGACATTACACACGTCCGTGGGTCAGGGGTCAGCCAGTACACACGTTCGTGGAGAAGGGGGTCAGACATTACACACATCTGTGTCAAGGGTCAGTCAGTACACACATCTTAGTGTCAGGGGTAAGACAGTACACACGTCTGTGGGTCTGGGGTCAGACAGAACACACGTCTGTGGGTCAGGGGTCAGACAGTACACACGTCTGTGGGTCAGGGGTCAGACAGAACACACGTCTGTGAGTCAGGGGTCAGAAAGTACCTACATCGGTGGGTCACACAAAAATCCCACTCATGTCTTTGGGTCAGACAGGACATGTAACGATGGGTCTGGGGTCATACTGTTCATACATCGATGTATCTAGGGTCAGGCATTACATTAATAACACCATAGTGGTCAATTCACGAATACACTGACAGGTCTAGTTTATGATGCAAAGCCATACAGACAGTTTACACAGGAATACAGTGCTCCCACTGTCTGGTAGTACATGCAGGGCTCCCACTGTCTGACTGGTAGTACATACAGGGCTCCCACTGTCTGGTAGTACATACGGGGCTCCCATTGTCTGGTAGTACATACAGGGCTCCCACTGTCTGGTAGTACATACGGGGCTCCCATTTTCTGGTAGTACATACTGGGCTCCCCCACTGTCTGACTGGTAGTACATACAGGGCTCCCACTGTCTGGTAGTACATGCAGGGCTCCCACTGTCTGACTGGTAGTACATACAGGGCTCCCACTGTCTGGTAGTACATACAGGGCTCCCACTGTCTGGTAGTACATACAGGGCTCCCACTGTCTGGTAGTACATACAGGGCTCCCACTGTCTGGTAGTACATACAGGGCTCCCACTGTCTGGTAGTACATACAGGGCTCCCACTGTCTGGTAGTACATACAGGGCTCCCACTGTCTGGTAGTACATACAGGGCTCCCACTGTCTGGTAGTACATACAGGGCTCCCACTGTGACTGGTAGTACATACAGGGCTCCCACTGTCTGGTAGTACATACAGGGCTCCCATTGTCTTTTGATAAAAATAATAATGTACCTAAATGTAGGTTATTATGTCTTAGCAGTTATAAAAAATAAAACCATAACTAGAATAGTACTCTTATTTCATTATATTGATAGTAATAATTATATTTTAAATTGTATTGACCTTTAAAGCTTATGTACTTGACTATGATAGTAATAATTATATTTTAAATTGTATTGACCTTTAAAGCTTATGTACTTGACTATATCAATTTAGAGTGGTTGATGTTGCATCTCATTATATAAAACAAAATTCTGTCTTAATTTTTTAATGAGCATGAAAACACACAAGAGAAAGCCAGGAAAACAATTAAATATGTTTTATTACATTTCTATTATCTATTGACATAGTATACATGTTTGAATGAATTGTACACTTGATAAAAGTTATTGAATGTTAAGTCAGCAGAGGTTATTGAACTATGTGCACCAAGTACAAGACAACCATAAGACAAAAATTGTAACCTAAGCACTGGAAACAAGGAAGTCACAGGGGAGATAACAAACAAAATATTAAGTAACAAGGGAAATAACCAAACATATGACCACAGAAGACTAAATATTGTGTTTTTAAAAGTTTTTAGGTACAAACACTAGCTACATTATTTAAAAAAGATGTGTTGATTTTCATGCAGTTAAAAAAAAAACAACTACAAATTGTGCTTTTAACCCGCTAATATGTGTGTGTTTTTTTTTCTTCATTGCCCAGTCCACTCAACTCAGATTTAAATACAAATATTTTTGACAAGTTATTTAGTCATGTGATAGTTTGAGACAATAAACACCAGAAACTAAACACAACCCCAACTACAGTAAACTAAGTTAGGCACAAGCAACACCACATCTGCATTTATCATTAATCTTAACTGGCAACATGACAGGCATTTTGGCAGCTTAACTGGCCAGCACAACACAATCTCTACAGTTAAGAATAACCTAAGCATTGCCATCATTCACACCCTACATATCCATCAACTAAGTTCAACAACTTAGAGCTATCAATGTTGGCAGCATTCACACAGAAACATATCCATACAATCTACCAAATTAGAACTATTATTACAATATTCTGGTAGATATTTTTATATGTGCAAAAAAGTTAAATAATGCAGTAATCTCAGGATTATTATATTATACTATTTACATGTTGCTGTCAATAGTTTTAATTTTTTAAATAAGTAGTAAAAGTTTTATGAAATTATGCTAAACACAGAGATAAATATGTGCAATATTTTTTTGTATAATAGATAACCACACAGAACTTAGCAAGTCTAAATGTGATTAATAAAGTTACAATATATGTTAGAAGGCAGCTAAATAATTAATTTTTGTAAATACATAATTTTTATGAGCATAGCTAGTAGCTATTGTCAAGGGAGGTAGCAAATACGACATGTTAACTCCCTTGAATAAGTAGGTTGATGTTGATCACTGTTTGTGTGTTGTCATGAAATAACACATACAGTTAGGCTCAGGGTGACAAGAAAAATATATTCCAAACCCCCAAAGTTTTACAAGTGGATCATGTTTTCCTAAAGGGTCATGTTTTGAATTTTTCAAACCACACTTCAATAGCACGCTACTATTAGTATTAACAAAAATAATATGGATCAAGATCACTCAAATGGCTCATTAACAAGTAGATGAATAAGTACAGTTTTAAAAACTAAATTAACAGTCTTTGAAATTTTAATGTCATCCGACTTATAATTTTGGTTTGATATAGATTTATATAAAAGTGTTAAAAAAAAAAACAGTCAAAATGTGCTCAGTAAAAACATTTATATCTTAGCAGACCTATATCAATTATTATAAAAATTTACAAAGAGAAATATGAAAATGTCTTCAGAAATAACTATTTAAATCTTAGCAAGCAGCCTATATCTTAAGTTACAAAAATGTGCTATAATTTTCCCTTGTGAAACAGCCTACCATAATGGGTTCCAGCTAATGTATCCCCATGTACATATTTGGTATGAGACTAAATCACTAAACAAGAGATGAGCTACAGTATGAAGACAACTTGATCTCACAACACAACACAGGAAAAGTGTCTCTAGACAGAAAGTCAACAGATATCACAGACCAAGATGTGTTAGAACAATACTTCACAGTATCTATCCTCAGACATCAACAAACACCTCAACAACTATAGCACTGGTGTGTTTTCATACCAAATAACATTTGATAAAAGATTAGCTCATTAAGTTCTCAGACAAACACTGATAGCTTGGCATTAGATTTGGTTCAATGTTAACAGGCTATTTCCTAATTCTAATGACAATATTATTTTTTTTAAAATTCAAAACAAAAGCTTAACTTAAAAGAAATGCAAGTAGAATAAGCTAAAATACAGACAAGATCTGTTTCAGAAAAATTAAAAAAAAGAATAACTAATTTCAATGATCGTCAAATGCGCCCACCCAAAGTATGTAAAGAAAGAAAGTGTCTTGATCTGACTACATTTTTTTCCATAACTTCTATTATTTGTAAATTCTTGTTTTATAATTGTGACCACTAATTCACACTCAAATAGTAAAATAAAAACAAAAACCTATAGATGTGAATGAACATCTATCAGTTTAAAGTATACAGTGAAGATATACAAATTATATTTCACTCAATTATTTAAAAAAAGATGACCATCAAGATATACCTGTACTAACAAAAAGAAATGTGGACTGATTGCTTAACACTCACAAAATGAATTATGTTGAAAAAATTAACAGAAATATATGTTAATTTGTGAAAAATAATTAAAATGTTATACAAGGTAACTGAAAATAAAAGTTAAAACTCAAGTTCTATATCTTAATTAAGAACTGAAATAAACACAAAGTTTCCAAATATGAATAAATTATTAATATTCTACAGCTTTATAACAACAACTAAGAGATCTTTGATTAGGCAGTATATAAATGTACACACACACAAGTATAGAGACCAGTCTGATGAATAGACCAGATTTAAAAACAGTGAATTCAAGAGGATTTAGAAATGTAAAAAGCTATGGTGTATTTTGATATAACAGAGGAATTAGAAATGTACAAAGCTATGGTGTATTTTGATATAACAATGATATTTAAGTAATATGTTTTGGTTGGGATAATGTTCAATGGGGTATTTACATAGCCAATGATGAATATGAAATTTGATTTTAGCATCCACATAGAAAAAAATTGAACTGGAATGTCCAACAGATCACATCCTACAACAATCTTTGTACAATGCCGCAATATTCTGCATTAGTCTGACACACCACAGTCATCACTCTGACACGTTTGCATCATTAGACACATTCCTATTTTGGACACATTGCTGCATTTGGGTGACACACTGCTGTAGTTACTCTACTGTGACACATTTGCAATCATGAGTTTCACACACTGCCATTAGTCTTACACATAGCCACATTCCTATATCAGCCAGAAAAATTGCAGTCATTAGTCTGTCTAGACACATTGCCTTCATAAGACTTGACACATTGCTGTCACTGGTATGACATATTGCAGTCATTAGTCTTGACACAATGCCATCATTAATCTTGACACATTGCCGTCAATAGTCTTGACACACTGCTGACATTAGTCTGACACATTGCTGTCTTTAGTGTAGACACACTGCTGACATTAGTCTGACACATTGCCATCATCCTTAAAATCAAAAACAATACCAGCCAACATTTCTCGGAGCAGGGGGTTCTCCATCATCTTGGAGTACTTCTCAATCTTGAAGTTCTTGATGAAGCCTATGCTGCTCTGGGTCTGTGTCCTGGCCTCAGTGATCCTACCCATAATCTGGGCAAACTTGATGTTGGGCTTCTGGTGCCGGAGGGACAGGAGGTGCAACAGGCTCTGGACCAGGTGCCAGTAAATCTCTTCAACCAGAGCTGAATAAACTGGTACTGTACGATCTGTAAATAAAGACATTAGAGTTTTTAAAAGCGTTTGGAATTGTTTAAATTTTTAAAAAAATAGAATAACAGTTTAAATAACTTGAACATAATGAAAAAAAAACACATTGTAGGAAATTCAAATAAATAATTTGATTTATTTCCTTTGAAGAAATAAGCCCAACACAAAAAAGAATTAATTATTATATTGTAAATATCTATTTGTTACCTCCCTTGACAATAGCTACTAGTTATCCTTTAAAAATTATGTATTTACAAAAATTAATTATCTTCCTCTTCATTGTTCAAAGTACAGTTCAAGGCCACAATGTCAATGGGGTATAAAATTATATTGTTTTTCTGATTTTAAAACGTTGTGATAGAGTAGAGAGCACCAGACCCATTTACTTCCATCCTGCACAAATCAGGTACCCATTAAAGCTGGGTGGACTCTAGAAGGCTTGGCCTTGTAAACTCAAACTTTTGGGTCAGTGATTTCAGACATTCCTTCCCTTTACGTGTTGGGGTCGAGTGTGTAGGACGTACCCGAGTCTACCCTTCTAATGGGTACCTGACTAATTTTAGGAAAAGTAAAGGCAGCTGGGCATAGTGTTGACCACACTATCCCTTCACATGCCCAGTACAAGGAAACGGGTAAACTCTACTTCACCTGCCGCATGAACCATTGGGTTTTGTAACAGTGTACCTAACTTTCAGAAAGTTTAACTGTCTAACAATAACGAATGATGTAATATTAATTATTATTCAACATTTTCTAAACTCCTAACAAATTTGTACAGTCAAAAAAAAAATCTGTAAACAAAACGTCAATAAAAAGAAATTTTGAAATCCCATTACCAGGGGCCATAATCAGAATGGCTTTAACAACAACTTGCTCTTCTTCTGACAAGTCAAGGTTCTGCAGACTTTGGTAGAACTGCAGCTGCTTGTACAGGAAGTCCCTGAAGCATTCCAGGTTGCAGGCTTTCACCATGTCAATCTCACACTTCCATTCATTGTCCACCCCCTTCATCACCTTCAGTTCAGGGTTCAGTGAAGGGTACATGGAGAAACTCACAAACTCTTGACGAGAATCTGTAAAAGTCATTTCCAAAAGGTTTTATAAACATAAAGAAACAAGTTTTAAAAGCGTTGGCATTTTGAGAATATACATGCAGTTACATTCATGACAGAATACAAATAATTAGTCTAATTTTATTCTTGATTGCCTCATCAAAGTAGCTGTGTAATAATGGTTCTTTCATTATAGTTGTTAATCATTCCACTTGACATGGTATTAGCTCTTGTTAATTTCATATAAGAATTGATTTCTACTAAGAATATTGAAGATACGAGAAAAATGGCCCGTTGAGGAAGGACACAACGGGCGCTAGGCTGATAGTGCTGTCTCTTTTCTCTAAACTAAAACCACCCCACCCCCCCCCCCCCCACACACACACCACCCCCACCCAAAAAAAAACATGTCTACCGTCCCATTCAACGAAATATAATTATATACTTTTTCCAGTGTCCGCCCCCTCCCCGAAAATTCTACCCCCCGCCACCGAAAATTTCAAGTACCCCCACCCCTCTCCGGGGAGGAAAAAGTCTAAAGTAAAACCACCCCCCCCCCCCCCCCCAAAAAAAAAACATGTCTACCGTCCCATTCAACGAAATATAATTATATACTTTTTCCAGTGTCCACCCCCTCCCCGAAAATTCTACCCCCGCCACCGAAAATTTCAAGTACCCCCACCCCTCTCTGGGGAGGAAAAAGTCTAAACTAAAACCACCCCACCCCACACCACCCCCCCCCCCCCCCCCCCCCCCCCCAAAAAAAAAAAACATGTCTACCGTCCCATTCAACGAAATATAATTATATACTTTTTCCAGTGTCCGCCCCCTCCCCGAAAATTCTACCCCCGCCCCCGAAAATTTCAAGTACCCCCACCCCTCTCAGGGGAGGAAAAAGTCTGAAAGAAACACTGGTGTCGCGCATAGCCACTACGCGAAGAATTGCATTAAAGAAATTGCAAGAAAACCACTTTTTAGATTAGACACATTAATTAGGCGGTAATTTTATTATAGAGTATCGATGAGGAAATTTCTTTTGAGTTGGGGAGGGGGGGGGGGGGCTCAGACGTTCTTACGCGGGGATGGGGCTTCGCCTCTACCCGAAGAATTGTATGAAAGAAACTCTTCACGCAAACCACTTAGATTAGACAAAATTGCCTTTGTATTCAATGTTTACTCGATAATCAATGACGTCATATTACTGTGTGCACTCTCCGGCTTGACTCTGTGCTAAATGTGGCGACGTCATACTTCGTTTTTCGAATTACTTTGCAGGTTTTTAATTTCCTTGTGTTTTCTCTATAGCGTTCTTGTCAGATAGAATTTTTGCTTATGTTTTCTCTAGAGCGTTCTTGTCAGACAGAGCGTTCTTGTCAGATAGATAGATACATACATACACAGACAGCGAAACTATTAGTATTAATTGGCAGAATGTCTAAGGGCAGCAATCTCGGATATATTTTGACTAATATCTAACAGTCTGCATACAACTTTTCATCTACAGGCTTATTTATTCATTCAAGCTGCAACATTAGACTTAAAGCGCCTAGGACAGGAACAGTGATCAATTTTAACAATTATATATTTGAGGTACATGGATCAATTAAATTTCTTTGTCAGTTAAAATTCTAAAAAACTTAAAGTTATTTAGCCACCAACAAGCTTCCTATTGATAAAATTAACAATTACTTTTACACAGTTACACAAGTATAAAAGCATATGACTGACTCCCATTAACAAGATTAACAATCACATTTGAATATTACAGAACGATACAACAATTAATATACAGCAGCAAGCACAACTTACATTTAATAAGGTTGACTTTGTCTACAGTGGACACCTTGCCAAAGCCAGGTATGGCTTTAGCAAACTTCACCATGCCCCTAATGACATTCTCTAAATAAATGCTAACTCTGTGAAAACGATGTTGACGTCCGTCAGTGTCAAGACCTGTCGTGGCAAAGATATAATCATATTCATGATCTGGGAGCTTTGGCAGAGTGCCAAATATTTCTGAGTGGAGTTTACAATGTTCCTGCAGAGTAAAAGAGTTGGAATAATAAATGCCACAAGAATTAACCAAATAATTTTATAAAATTTATGCAAAATATAAAGTGCTGATGAAGGCAGAAAATTCTAAAAATACCCAAAACAGGTTATTTAGTGTTGGAGTTGATTCATTTTTTAAATAACTGCTGAAAAAGATATTAGTGTAAATTAGGTAATGAATTTTGTAAATGTTTTCTTAAAAAATTATCATTGTGTGAAAACCATTTTTTGTTACATAAACTCTTAATTTGTCAATAAAAAATGCCGCCATTTATTCTAACAAAAGCACTGAGTAGAAACAGCACAATTCACAAAATCTTTGACTAGGGACCATTAATAAATGACATCACACACCTAAGAAAGTAGTGAGTCTGAATTTTGTAATGTTGTGCTCCTTGGGGGGAGTGGGTTCAGGAAATGTAACATAACAGAGATTTTTAATTCTCAAGGACAGAAGTTAAAAAACATGTTAATTTCCCTTCATTAATTATGGCTGAGTGGAGGGAGAATAGAATGGTTGTGACATTGTAAGAGGGAGAAGACTGGCTCTTTGTGTTGATATGTGGCAATAGATGGAGAATACGAAGTCTAAGAATTGGCTTAATTTACAGACCTATTGATATTGCTCTGAAATGGTTTGATAAAATGTAAAAATGTGTATATAAAATAAATTGAAATAATTCTAAAAGAAAGAAAAAATTACAAAAGTTTGTATTACAATATAAGGTTTTGTCCAGGTTTCAAAATATACACTACCTCAATAACTGAAACAAAATTTTTCCAAAATCTAATAAATCAACACATAAGTTTTTAGCAACTGTTTTTTAAATTTATTAAAATTTAAATCTAATATATGTGAAACAAAGATTAAGTGATGTGATATATGGTGTGATTAGAGAAATTACTTACAATGTGCTCTATCTGCTGCCTCAGCTGTTCCTCCGGAGACAAGCGACCAAAGACAGGCACAACAAAACATTCATGGGCCTCCACCAGCATCCTGACCACCTTCTCCTTGTCCTGGTACAGCAGGGACACGTCCTTGTTCTCCAGGTTACACCCACAGGAATCACAGAAAGTGCCGAGAAAGTCTGAACTTGCTATCTGAGAGCTGACACACGTTGAAGAAGAGGAGGAAGAGTTTGATAAAGGGCCGCTGGTGCCGGAGGAGAACGGGGAGGATGTACACTGGAAGTGGTCGTTGCAGCAGGTAGCGGGCGACGAGACAGGGGTGGAGTTGACTGACGACAGGGGTAACTGTTCGTATGAGGTGTCTGACGGATGATTTATAAACGACTGAGTTGTTAACGAGGATGACAGAACAGCTGTGGCGGTAGCTGATAGGACAGCCAGGGGGGATAAAACGGACGAATTAGATTCCAGCATGGATGGTGATTTTTCACGGCGATCCTGACACGGCGGTTGTGAAACTGGTGACGATGTCAGTAATGTCAACAAAGGTGACTGAGGGTTTGTTGTTTGTGGTTCCAGTTTTATTGTGAAATTTGGGCTGTTTACATATACACTGTCAGTCACTGTGGGGAAGGCATTGTTGAGGCTGGATGCATGATATGCAATTTGGCTATCACAAGAGTTTTGGCTCCCTGAGTCTGTGTCCATGCGTGGACTTCTCAGCAGTTTCAAAATCTGACTGGAGTTTGTTACCCCGGTTGGAACCTGGACGGTTCGCTGTAGTTTCTTGACTTCCAGGATGTCGTTGGTCCGTTTCACAGATGTGTATCTGCCAGTTTTTATAGCTGAAATACAAGTGACAGGTAAATTACAAAATATTACGGTATTTTTGTGCCACGACAGGACTGAGGTAGAACCAAGTAAGAAGAGTTATGTTTGATAGGCTACTATATTATGCAAAAAGCTATCTTTTATAATATATTTTTTACTTTAAATATCCGGAAGAGTTGAAAAGGGAAAGAAGTGACTAACTTTAATTTTATATTATAACTAACTTAAGCAACTAAATTTGTAAATCTAAGCATCTTGAAGTTTACAGAGGATTCAACAACTGTATAATAAAGATTTTAAAAAACCTGTTATGTTATGTACTAGTAGTTCTTAAAACATAACTACATACCTTCTTTACCCATACCGACCATAAGACACTTCTGATAGCGACACTTTTGACACAGCTTATCTTTCCCGTGTTCAATAACACACTGGCCATCATTATCACATTTGTACTGATCATGAAGCTTCAAGCTTCGATGAAAGAAACCCTGAGCACAAAGAGAAAATGAAATATCTGGATAATGTTAAAAAAAAATGCTAAAATCAATTTCTTCTAAAGTAAAGAAACATTTTTTAACAACTGTTTATTTTTCATAGCACAATAAAGGAAAAGGGGAAAATTTTATTTTTTCTTACCTATTTTTTAATTAATTATTAAAATTAATAAATAAATTAGGTACATCGCATAATTATTTTCTTCTCATTAAATTGTGTTTTTCTTTACATACATCATCTCAAGCACGAGTGTATGGGGTCATGTTATCTTTCTTCTGGACAACAAATATGGTAATAAACAGTGATATAACATCCTGTTTTCTTCCTATTCCTGCTAGACCAAGCATGTGCAATCTACATAACATTAAGCACACTAAAGGGCAAAAGTTCACAACTGAAGACAAACTGAACTGATCAGTGTGATGTTTTACCTTGCAAGCTTCACAAGTGTTGGCCCCATAATGGAAGCCTGCACCAGGGGCATCACACACCCGACATGGAGGGAGATTTGTTTTGGAGTTGTTTTCTGGGTCTACCTGTTTTCTTTTTCTACCCATTTTCTGAAACAAGAAAATCAACAATCTGATTAGAATACAATTAGTACCCATTTAAAATAGGATAATTTCAGAAATGATATGAAATTAATCAGTAGCAAGATATGTATATAAAGTCTACAAACTGTTTTAAAACCGCATATTCTAAACAACAACCCTTTTGACAAGATCATCTTTAAAACAATTTCTTTCTTAACAATGTCACTGAGTAATAAAGTGTAAGTCTAATTAAAAACCCTTAAACATCCAAAAAAGTTATCAATTTTCTACAAACATCTGTTCACTGAAGGAAAGTAGGACTTCTTAATGACATCTTTGTCATGAAATTGCCCACTCAATGTAAAGAAAATAAAATTATGAACAAAACTGGCATTGGCCTTAGACTTGAACTGGATTCAACTTTGACTCTTATAACCAGATCAAATGGTAACCATTACAAAGTTCTTTAGTATTTGCCATAAAATAGCATCACTTAAAAGTTAAACATAAATTTCTTCAAGTTGAGTTGACTACCGGTATATTTAATGCTTTTAATCCTGTTGGATTACATTTTGATGACCTGGTGTACCCTCCCCTTCCCATACTTTACCCACATTACAAAATAACATTTATTATTTTCACTCACAGGCATCTCATTTCAATTTTGTAAACACTTGTATGTAAAAACTAAATCATTTTAATCAGAAATATAGTACGATTCCTTTTGTTCAAACATGGTGGCGTTTTAAGTTAAAGTCCTAAGGTGAAATATTAATTGCTTGAATAAATCTGTCAAAATCAATATTAGCATTCTGTTTAGAGCCATGTGTCTGGTTTATAGTAATCTAAGTAAATTATTTCTTACATTAACATTTCTTTAAAACTAGCAATAATGAATTCTAAAGACATAAAAATATATAGCAGAGACAGAAATTAATGTTTATTATCTTGTATACATACAGTCATTACACCTACACATCTAAACTTTAACCAACATCCTGTTAGAGTGTTGCTAAATTAATTATTGTAATTATAAACTATAACAAGTACAACTTTCTCATGAGAAACAACAATTACAATTTGATTCTCCATCACATGTGACACTTCATCCTAACCCAATCCCTAAATCCAACCTTCAACTCAACCTTAGTCATCAGATTAGAATATCATTTCTTTGTTTGTGGATTAAAAGTACTTATTAATTGCACAGCTTTATTATCAGTCAAGAGTGACTAATAATTTTAAAAATTTCAACCCTCAGTAGAAAATATCCATACAAGTTTTTTTTTTAAACAGAAGGTATATAACATTAACTAAAATCGCATACATAAGAGCTTTTGTTATACCAAAGCAAAACATATTTTTAAAATAGATTCAGAAATTATTGTGGCAGCAACAACAATTTTTAATGAACTAGCTGACATTATGAGTCGTTTCTGTGATCTATGAAAATAGATATTTGATTCAATAATTTAAATTAATAGATGTATTGAACTACAAAATAATTGAAACTAATGCATTAACAGAGCACTGTCTAGTAATTTACTGAGTCAGTAGTTAAACTCCACATATGTGTGAGGTGCTGTTCAAACATGAGAATAGTGTATCACTTTGTGAATCAGCTATTTCAAGCTGCCCAATTGGTAATCTCATGATTTAGCATCAGTAATTATCCAGTATTGTTTATTAATTTTCGTAACCATTAGCTGCTGTAAGCCATATTTTTTTGGCTGTTGAAATATAAATAAAATTAGCAACTATTAGAATCTGTTGGCCAAAATATTTAACCCTTTCTCCCATTTCCTGAGCTCCCAGGGCCAAACCAATTTTCACTTATCTGCTTCTAACTTTGCCTATAACTTTTGAACCGTTTGAGATAATCAAGCCAAATTTGGTTTCCAGACTCAGGATCAAACAACAATGCAGCAAGATTCTGAAATTCTTTATTTGTTTACAATGTATGAACAGAACAATGTATATAAAACGAACACGTAATTATTGTTTTGATAGAACATAGAAGAAACAAATTTACATTTAGTAATTGTTTTGTTATTATTGATACCTGGCCATACTAGTTCATAGCCAGAAGTCCACTTTTGTGTGATAACTTTCAAAACAGTTATCACTGCCGGACCGATGCAAAGAAAAACTTCGCATGTTTTGCACCAGTAAACAGTTGTTTTTTTTCGTTTCAGCAAGTCTTTGTCCTTGGCACCACGTGCATTATAACGTACATTGTCACTGTCAATTTCAATTTCACTGAGTTCAGTCTCAAATTCAACGTCACTATCATCACGCTATAGACCAGGAATATTATCTTCTTCATCAGAATCAATAAGCAGTTGTATTGCCTGAGATGCAGTCATTCTACTTCTTTTGTTGATATTTCGGTCTTTTGCTTCATCTTTTGCACCAACTTTATATGCTGAAGTCGATGGCTGTGGCTCAGCTTTTCGTTTCGGCGGCATTGCTACGAAATGTAAACACTTTCACTTTTCCTAAAATCTATTTTTAGAATCATAATCACGCACTAAAAAGACATATGCGCAGTTTTAGTCAGTCTTCCGCTAATTATATTTAATTAGACGGTATACCGGCCGCTAGGAATATGACGCTATATCATCGGGCCGGAAAACCGGCTTTTCGGACATATATGCCTATTGTTGAAGCCGGTTTACCGGCCTGGCGGGCTCAAAGGGTTAAGTCAACTTTGGTAATTAATGTTTTTTTAGAAACATATATAAAAAGTTGCAGAAGATTAGTGACAATTAGTAAATAATGATTACAAAATAGTAAAAAGAAATCAATTTTCAAATGTGTAGAACAATGTTTAGCGAGAATTGATTTGCAGAAATAATTAGTAACAACCCAAAAAACATTAGAAATAAAAATGATTAGCCAAATAATATTTAACATCGAACTATAAAATCTATCCAAATTTTAAGAATATAGGATTAGTAACGTAATGATGAAACCCTCTTAAAATATTATGTCATACTTATTATTAGGTCACGCTAGTATTTTATAAAATTTTCATTTTTGTTTTCCCACTTGCTTCATAAACTTCATTTTTTACAGAGCTTATAAAACCGTATATTTTAAATAGAAAAAAGTAATCTATCGTTTTAGGGACGTAAAATCGGCTGAGGCTAGTAATGTGCGAGAAAGGTGGCTCATTAATATGGTTTTAATACAAGTATATTATTGTGATACTTTTGTATCAAATATAATAGATAGTTGGATAATAAACCGAATATATCAGAGAAGGCCAGAAATTAACTTTAAACTGCCTTGTTTGCGAGCAAGATTTGCTATATTGTCAGAGGCCATCTGTAAATTAGAGTGGTTTCCCCTGAATCTCAAGCTAAAACGTTACCAAAATACTTGTTACAGTGTTACAAGATGGCTGCTGAAATAAATGAGCTTGGTTGCATCTGATAAAAAATTTTTCACAAAAAATGTTTTAATAACAAACTTTTATGTACTAATGCACTAAAAAGTAGAAAATAAATTATAGACTACTATTTAAAAAACTATAAAGAAAAGCGTGGGTCTCTTCCTAAACATTAGTAGAGGTATCCAATAGATACTAAAGTGACCCACGCTTTTCTTTCTTTAAATAGTAGTCTATAATTTATTTTCTACTTTTTAGTGCATTAGTACATAAAAGCTTGTTATTAAAATGTTTTTTGTGAAATTTTTTTTAGTACTTTACATCTTCTTATTTACACTAGAGTTTCATGACTAAAAACCATTCACACCAATTGAAACGTGATGACGCGCTATTGAACGTGATGACGCGTGTGGTGCGGTTCGATAGACATGCCTACTAATTCGGTCAAAATTTTAATTAATTCATAAAAAATTAATTAGGCATCCAATTGAGTCAAATTTAATGTCACGATGCATTGTCTTCATGTCTTGACCCATGTGCAAACTGTGAACCGTATCGGTCAAGTGGAAGTGTTCAAATTTTCGCTCCTGCGTTTTGATCTAGACAGACTGACGACTGACGAGGAAGTGAGTTAAATAAAAGCTTGTAAAAACATCACCAATCTTTATTTATTATTGAAAAGTTTAAATATAGGCCTAATTGTTTAAAATAGGTATGTGGATGAAAGTTTGAAACATTTTTGTAACTTTTGAAATAAAAAAACCATTCTAAAAATGTGAAATAATTACAAAAATTTGATGAGTCACCCTTTTTTCACATTACTAGCCTCGGCTGACTTTACGTACCTAATAGTAAAAGGATAGATTACCAGAAAAAAAGTATTTCTCCTCTCCTATTAAAGCTAGTAGGCCTAATATGAATTTGGTATCAATAGAATTCTTAATCAATCCTTCCTACTGATTAGTTAGGGCATTAGGTAAAGTTCTAGATCTAGATTCTAGATTTAAAACTAAAAGATCTTGATTCTAGACTCTAGAGATATTCTAGAACTAGAGTCTAGTCTAGATTCAAGAATCTAGATTAGATTTAGATCTAAGTCTAGATTTAGAATCTATAGGCCTATCTAGATCTAGAGATCTAGATCCAGATCTAGATTTAAAAGTGAAAGCTAAGAAATCAAGATTTCAAGTCCGTGAACGTAAAAAATTGTAAAAAAAAGCTCTGCCTCTGAGTGAGTCGGATTGCGTAGGCCCTAATTAATTAAACATTTTAATAATTGTTAAAGAGGATAAGCTTAGTTGAACATTTAAAGAACAAATAGATCTAGAATCTAGACTAGATTATAAACAAACCGAAGGAAAGAATGGTTTCCAAAAAATAGATTTATAATTTAAAATTCTTGTCATACGACGGAAACCGTCAGGCAGATGCCATGTTGTTTTTCTAAATTCTAACACTGGTCACATGATCATACATAGATTCTAGATTCTAGATCTACAGAAGCATAGGCCTAGCATAGGCCTAGGCCTAACCTAAGACCTTTAATATTATTTACGCACTCGTTCCTAACTAATTAACTAAAATGTGTCGCTCTACTTAATTACGCTAGCTATGTTTTCCCTTGGTCGATGAGAAGTTAAAATCTTATTAAAGTATTATTTAACATTTCTTCAAGAAAAGCATTCAAAAATGTTCTGTGATACTTTTTACAAAACTTGAGGGAACTGGTTTATTTTGATCATGTATCAAATTATTTTTCGGGGTTACCTCTCTTGTATTGTAAAAATAACCCGTTTCCTTCACAAACCATTCCGATCTTGAATGAAGCAGTAGATCTAGTCTAGATCTATAAATCTCATATGTGCTTGATAATATATTCAGCAATGATCATTTACTTTGCCAACACTACCTACCAATCAACTAGATTACTAGATCTAATACAACGCAAAAAAATTAAATTTTTAGATTTGGAGTAAATCACTTAGATAAGTTTATTAATCAACCCTTAATGGATGTATTTTAATTAAATCAACAATTAAACCACAGCAATCAAGCTGGTTGCAGTTCTGTTTTATGTTGTAGTTAAAATCTCTGTGTTTAATGTTGTAAGTTAGTGTAAGCCCCAAGCCCCTAGTTGACCTTTTCGCGTTATTGGTGCATTTCGACTTTTTCTGTTTTAGTTTAACTGTTGTTAATTCTTCTCTGTTTAATATTGTATTTAACCCATTCTGTGTTTGATGGTGTAGTTAACAATTTCTGTGTTTAATGTAAATTAACTCTAATCATGCATTAATTTTAACGGATAATGCAATGCTACTTTATCCATTTTCGCTCGACTTGTTTCTCCCCCCCCCCTTCTATGTTGTCACTCAGGTCCCGTCCATCCACCCCCCTCCATCCAAAGCCCTGTAACGCCACTGTATATATGATGGCAGTAGTAAAAGATATTTTGAGGTTTTTGTTTTTTAAGGAGAGGCAGTGTTGAAAAAATCGAGAAAACATTGGATTACTTCACAGGCACTTACTTCAGTAAGGCTTTTAATCGAGAAAACATTGGATTACTTCATTGGGGTCTTCCATTTACCATTTATGACGTCTACACACTTTTGCGGACGCGTGTGGACTGGGGTCGGGTCACTGTGGACGTCTATATGTGGAATTAAACTACAAAATACTTACATTTGATCATTTTTAAAAAAAATTAAAAATTCACATAAAATGTAGATTATACAATAAATCAGCAGTTCTCGTAGTAAATTTATTGAAAATCTACCACCCACCAAAAAAAAATAAAAAATAATCGATTTTTTTTAAACAAGTGGGAGGGGATGGGGCATTGAAAGCGGCAATTTTCTAAAACAATTCATGGTATTTCAAGTTTATTTTTAATATTTTAAACAATTGCAACCATATCATAGAATGTCTACATCATTATTTTGTGTCAAAGCTTAAAATGATGAAGATCTAGTCATTTTTTTTTCAAGTAAAAACTCAAAATAACCACATTAAAATTAAATATTTAAATATCAGCAAGTGTAGGCCTATACTGTGCTCGCTTGGTCAGGTGTGTAGGTCGAACGGTCAGCGCGACCTAAAAAAAAAGGGGGAGAGGCAGTTTGTTATGGAAACACATGCAGCGTAAAGTTGAGTAAAAGCAGTGGCGTAGCGAGGTCGGGTGTCACCCGGTGCGGCACTTAATGGTGTCACCCCCCCCCAGAGGCACAGAGACCCTTCCCAGCGACAAAACTTTCAAATTTTCGATTTGCACCCCCCCCCCCTCAAACTTTCGATTTGAATTCCCCCCCCCCCCCCCCCTAGAGTTTTTCTCTATATATTTTGCTATTTTTTGCCTTGGTGTCACCCCCCTAAATGGTGTCACCCGGTTCGGTCCGCACCCCTCGCCCCCCCCCTCCCCTCGCTACGCCCCTTAGTAACAGTAATATAATGAAGACACGTTGATTAGCCGAATTTATCCGAACCCAGAGCCACAAAGACAGTAAAAACTTCGGTCTAAAGATTCTTCAATTAAAAAAAATATTATGACAACCTGCAAATCTCTGACTCTTTATGAAAAATAATGGGTAAAAAAGCCTTTAAAATCGAGAGGCAGTGTACAGCGTCCCAGCGCTATAACTCTTTCTATAAAGAACAAATTTAGATAGTCTTAGCACATTCACACGGTAAGTTTACACGCCGTAGACTTACGGACATCCTGAAAAAGTAAAAGTGTATATAATCTCCTTCCGCTATATTTAGTTTATACAAACTTAAAAAAACAACATATTTTAAGTTTACTTTCAGACACCAAAGGCAACAATTGTTGTACCAGATTTATATATATATATATATATATATATATATATATATATATATATATATATATATATATATATATATATATATATATATATATATATATATATATATAATGTGATAATGTATAAATGTGTTCAAAGCCATAAGCCTCGTGCATACGTTTGTTAAATAGTCGTCAGATCTCATTATGACTTAATATGACGTGTGGTCATTACAGTTTCTGCTACTTTATTCGGTACAATTATCGTTTCTACCACAGCTACCGTTACTTTAAATAATGAATTTCCACAGTGGACGTGAGTGGACGGGGTGTGGGGGATACTTTTATTCCAAAATAGTTTGGACGTCATACATTTATGAACCTTTATGGGGGGACCGGTACTTAATTTTTATTTTATTAAAGATCAGCAATTGAACATTGTCTACATAGCTAAAACAAAGATATTGATATGTTTTAAAGATAACATATCTCAAACATGTTGAGAACAAATGTTGAACCTTAAAAAGTTGAGTTTATATGTATTTTATATGCAATTTTGTATGCTAAAAATCTCAGTACGTATAAGACATAATAATACATAAAGTAAAAGCCACATTTAGAAATGGTTACAGAACAAACTGATAGAAGGATGTTTAGATTAAACACAAACTTTTTAAAATATGAATTTTTTTCAAAGTCACTTAGAAAAAAGAGTCTTTGTGGAGAGACATGAACTTTAAACAACCATAAAAATTAAATAAAGAAAGGTATCATTAAAAGCTTCTATCAGTTTGCAGAACAACCTATATTGTAAAGACTGTGCAAGTTTCACTGCATTCTGTAAGACAGTTTTTAATATTTCTTCTTTAGAAAATTTAGGCCAAAAAGTGTCAATGCTTATTTTTGTAAAAAATAAAATGTTATCCAAACTAGGCATCTATAAACACTAAAATAAGTATTTCAACACATTTTTTGAGTACAGTAGATTAGTTCAAGTAATTGATGGGATGTTAGAGTTGCATTAGACTATTAAATATACATAGGCAAAAAGATAATGAAAATGCGATTTTTAAGTACTGGTCCCCCCTTATGTAGTAACACAAGTCTATATACAATTTAATAAAGACCTATCTCTATGTATACATGTATATGATGTCTGATTAATGATAATTAAGGTTGAAATAAACAATAAGGTTTCAAGCCAGAATACAAGAGTGTATTTTTTTTTCACTTGAGATAGACAAGTTATGATAATACATGAATATGTGTGTATCTAAAACTATTTAAAATTAATACAAATTAACAATATAAATGATTATTTATTCGTAGTTATTTTGTTTTAATATGATCTCAACAAGCAGCCAAACTATGATTCATATATGTAATTTGTTATTCCTGTTTTTTTTTTTTACCCCGCAATTTAATAAGATGTGTAAGTTGTCTCTTGTATAATTTAGATAACCAACATAAAAGAAAAAATATAAAGTTTACAACAAAATACAAGTTTACGTTAAATATATTTAATAATTTGTTTCATGTCAGTGTTATAGGCTCATTGTTATTTTAATACTAGCTGCATCCCGTGCTCCGCCACGGTAAATCTTTTTAAAATGTACCAACTGGGGAACAGAACAAAACTAAACACAACACAAACGAACGAAAAAAAAAAAACACAAAAGAAAAAACAAACACAACACTCATAACATAAACACAATTTAAATGCAATCATAAAGGCATATTGCTGACAGTCTAGCCCGAGCCGGACGCGTCTGACACAGTGAATGACTATAAAAAAGAGGCGTAGCGACCCTTTCCGGCGCCCGGGGAAAAACTTTCAATTTGACCCCCCCCCCCCTCAAACTTACGATTTGCACCCCCTCTCCTCAAAATTTCAATTTCCACCCCACCCCCTTAAACTATCGATTTGCACCCCCCCCCCGTTCAGACTTTCGATTTGCACCACTTTTGATTTGAAAATCCCCCTCCCCCCTTCAAACTTCCGATTTCCACCACCCGCCCCCGCACATTTTTTTCAACCCACTTTGGCGCCCCCTTAGGTCGGCAACCGGGGACATATGTCCCCCCCCCCTCTCTACGCCTCTCCTATAAAACCCCCAGCAGTATTTAAAATATCCGTGTTTTACCTACCATATTATATCACTTTATCAATTCACGCATTTTTTTCCCAGTACTATAAATTTTAAAAATTTACAATAGAGTTTCATAACTAAAACCATTTCGCACCAAATGAACGTGATGACGCGTCTATAATAGTGCTTAATAGTTGATTAAAAATTATAAGTAGTAAACATTACATTCAGTGGATAAAATAAATAAAAAATAGCCTTTTATCAATCAATGCTAATTATAATATTCCAACAATAATGTACTCTTACACGTCTGCATAATTTGCATTCACATTTTGCTAATTATATTATTCCAACAATTATTCCTTCTTGCAGATTCTGCATTCACATTTTTAGCGTGAGTTCAATTTATTTTTAAAATACCTCCCTTAGCAAAATTACTAAACAGTTTAATTAGATTTTTCTAACCTACAGTTATTATGTTATAAAAATGTATCCACTTTTTCTAGGAATATTAACGAAAACGATATTTGACATTGATCCTTTTAATATGTTTT